TTCCCCACAGAATGAGATCTTGCACAGGACCACAGATGAATGGAGATTATCAATTATCTTAAATTTCCTTTCAGTTTCTCACACAGCTAATTTATTTTCCCACCAATCTGCTGCCTGCTGTAGACTGACTCTTCCCAGCTGGGTGCAGGTCTAGTTTTTTCCTGGTGTCTTTCAGTAGCTCTCTGATCTTGGTCACGGTTGAGTTTGGAGGCCGATCCCAAACTGTGCCCTATGATCTACCCCTACACTACACTGCAAAAAAATCAAATATAAGTGAGTCAATTTTTCTCAAAATCAGTGCATTTTGTTTTGCATTAAGAAGGTGACCACTTTATATAATAAGGCAATTTACTTTTAATATAAGAAAAAAATATTTCAAGTGCATAATATCTAATTATCTTATTTTAAGAATAAAAATACTCATTCCATTGGTAGATGTCCTTATTTATCTACTCTAATTAAGTACAAATACCCAAAGTTTTTCTTATTTTTAGATTTTTTTCAGTATATCAAATTTGAATCCCAATGAAGTCACAGTTGCATCTGTGGAGGGTGCTTTGATGGAGGGTGGAGAGTCTATAACGAATGGGACGCCTGCCTCCCTTCACCGGAAAGAGGAAAGTAGTTGTTGTTATGGCAACACAGAGATGCCCCATATGCATGTCTGTAGCTCTGTGGTGCAGGCTGCACAGCACAAGGATCACTGACAAACTCCTTGTTACTTGCTTTACATAAATTCTCTAGATCTTGCATCTATACGGGTTTGGAAACAGAACTTGTATGAGTTTAGTCTATGGGTACTCAGATTTTAACACAGAAAACCCAGGAGAAACTGATAGAAATGTAAAACCGTTTGCAACTGTCTCCACTCTCCCTACTTTAATTCGGGCATTTGATTGATTCGTCAAATCTTTCAGCTCAAATATTTTCCAAACACATGAAAAGTTGTTTACTAGGTGGATGGTGAAACTAAATATTTGCCCTTTTCTTGAAAATAAATGCATTAATTCAAATAAAGCCCTTATAAATACCACCTTCCTTTTTTTGAATGAATTACTTCGTGTGATTTTTTTTTTGTCAGTCTTTTCTCATTTTGTCTCCCATAGTCAAAGACAACTTTCTGAGGAGAACCTCTACAATCTTAACCCCAGTGCACCTCGGTTGCTGATGCTGTCTGTATTACTATTATACCAGAGGTTTAAAAGAAGTTTAAAAATATCGAGATTCCAACCTGAAGTTGTGGTCATGAGTCCATTCTAGGAGTTTAGTTAGTCAGAGTCTGAAATGTTTGGGAACCTTGGGGTGAATGTGTTAATCTAAAAATCTAGAAATAAATAAAAATTTCTTAAATTATTAGTATCTACCTTTAATTTGAGTAGGTAAATGAGATAGTTTGCCAATGGAATTAGTATTTTTACTCTTAAAATAAGATAATTGGATAAAATGAACTTGAGATAAAACAATGCAATTCTGTTTTCTTATTTTAAATGTAAATAGTTTTGTTCTATTGGCAAAATGTCTCTATTACGTCCTCAATTCAAGAACAAATGTAGTTGTTTTAAGAAAAAAGGACTTTTAATGAATTGTGCTTCAGCACCACAATCCATCCCAGAGGGAACCCTGAATCCTCCATTCGAGGTTATAAATGGCCCAAAAAAAAAACATTTAGGAGTCTTCAGAACAACGAATGGATAAAAAGTAAAAAAAAAAACCAGCAGACTGCTGTGAAAACATTCACATTTATTGCAGATGCAGCTACAGATTTCCAGAGATCAGACCGCATAGATCCGATTATAAAGACATTTATCGATGCATTTCCTATATTCAGACTTAAACATGTGATTCTTATTGCATCTCTTGGTGTTTATAGGTGTAGATGGTGCCATCAGAACATGAAGAGATTAGTATTACATTTTAAAGGTAAATGAAATCTCTAAAAATCCCCAAAAATCAAAACTCTTAAGGTTTTAATGACCTTGATTGGGCTTTTTTTTTTAAACTTAGCTGGTCCTCATAAAGACAGAATGTCCTTCACAGTTAAGATCAGCAGGAAAGCAGTAAACAAACACACACCCAACAATGTGACAGAGGGCGACACGACACAGCACTCAGATACAGCATCAATACACAGAAACATATTGCATAAATTTCTTCTCAAGTATTTCTACAGCTGTTTCTACCGAGGGTAGGAGAAATGGCTTGTATCAGTTTTCTTCATCATCATCCTCTAGATCTCATCTTCCAGAGGTCGGGTTGAGATAAAGACGTGGTGATGTTTTAAAAAAAACAGCAGAAGCATTTCAAACACTGATTCTGACAATTTCACTGGACGGGAAATAAATGCATGACGGACTCTTAATAGCTAAATAAGGAAGGATGGAGGGACGGAAAAGAAAAGGGATCGGATTGGAGAATGAATAAGAATTTAGAAAGAACCATTAAAAGAAATAAAAGACCGAAGGAAGAAAAGAGTAAAATATAAAAAATAAGTTCATGTAAACCTAAAAGAGGTCAGAAAACTTGTCTGTTTATTAAATGAGCCTGTCCTACGGAAGAAGATTAGGGCCACTGAAAAAATGTTAAAATATTGTTTTAGTTCAAATGTGAAAAATATCAGAATTCTATCTTTAATCTCAGAATTCTGATTTTAATCTCAAAATTGTGGATCTTAATGTAGATGGGCACCATGAAGGAAGAGATGTGGGATCACTCAGCTTCACTGACAAAGATGTGAGTAGTTTGGGGCGGCTAGTAACACATTGATTGGAAATGACGTAATTAGGCGACTTTTTACGTGCCTGAGGGGTCCCTGGTGATGCTATTTCATTAATGGAAGAGCAGAAGGTGATTAAAACAAGAGAGCTAGTTTAGTCTTTGAAACAGACATGGCTACGGCTTGATGCTAACATGTTGTTAGCTGTCAGAATTCTGGGGGAAAAGTCAGAATTCTGACTTTTTTTCCATATCAAACTGAACTAATATTTAAAAATCAGCCATTTTTTTGTTATTTTTTCAGTGGCCCTAATCCTCTTCCGTACTTTCCACTACCAGAACTTGTGCTTTTTTTTATCCATTCTCCATCCTGCAGCGATATTTTTAACATGTGCTCAGGATCTGCCTGCAGACAGAAGGAAAACAACTTCACCAGGACAGCTAATGGACCTTGATTGTTGTACGGACAGCACAGAGGAAGGAGGGGGAGATATTTTCAGCTCTTATTTCCCTGCACAACGTTTGCTGCTGCTCTAACTTGTCGTTTTTTTTGTCCCTTAAATCAATAAGGTTTTATACAATAGCCTCCGGTTTTAATGCAGCAGATTGTCTGTGACATTTATAAAGGATTGCTTCCTCCCAGAAATAAAAAAAATAAAACATAGAAGCACTGAAGCAGGAAATTGTCTGTAAATCCTAAAATATGCATATATTCTATTTTATTCATTTGTCCTTTTTTATTTCAAAAATGTAAACAGAAGGTAATAAACACAGGGAGCTCATAAATGTTGATATCCTTTGAAAAACATGATTTTTATTCGGAGAGGGCGGTGTTCATTTCAGAGTTTTTGGTTTGCCTTTGTAAGGAACCTGCTGCTTTTAAAGAGAAAAGCTGTTTATTAAAATATAGCGTGTTTATCTGTGAGTGGATTGGGCCTTAGTATTCTTATTTTCGGAGCGCCGCTTGGAACAAAGAAGATTTCACCTGATGAGCTCTGTGGGATTTTAAACTAATAACAGAATAAAGCAAGTACAACTCTACATCTATCAGCTCTTAATTCATCTTTTATGAAAGTAACAGTTAAAAACAGATTTTTTTTTCTAAAAAGAAACATTTCCTTATTTTTTTACTGTACATACAACCCACTAGGGGGTCACAAACCCCACGTTTAGAACCTCTGATCTAGAAATAAAAGCTTAAAGTAACACTGTGCAATGTTTAGCCACCAGGGGGCGCCTGACCTGCAACTTCCAGGTTTAGCCTCCTTGAATTTTATCTATTATTATTGAACTTTATTGATCTCACATTGGTGAAGTTAACCGTCTGCATTCAACCCATCCCTTTGGGGAGCAGTGGGCTGCCACCGTGGGGCGCCCGGGGGGGGCAGTGTGGGGGTTAGGGTCTTTGCTCAGGGACCCAGAGAGGCAGTCTGGAAGTGGGGCTTGTAATATTTTTTGTTTAAAAAAAAAATCTATACTAGGAAGTGAAAGCCTGATATTATATTGGGCAGCCAAAAATCACAATATATCGCCAGAACGATTTTTTCCACACACCCCTATCATTGACTAACACGACTGTGCAAACGCTTCGCACGACGTATGTGAGCGGGGCAGGGTGGAGCGGAGGAGGTGTCATCTGGGAGTTGGAACCGAAAGCCATCAACCAAAAGTGTCTTTTTATAAAAAGCCATTTGTTTAAAAAAAAAAAAAAAACAACAACTGTATTATCAATCTTTCATCTAGCTTAAATTTCATTTCAAAAATTCAAAAATAAATCCAGAACTTTTTTCTCTTTTGCGGGATTTTGCCTAAAACAAATCAGTTAAAATAAAGATCGCTCTGATTGGTTTGTGTAAATATAATTAATACGACTTCATTCTCCAATTGCTCTTAGAAATAGTTTTTTTGCTATCAACAAGTACCTATGATTCCCAAATATTAGGGGTGGAACGGTTCACAAAATCCACGGTTCGGTTCACGGTTTCGTGGTCACGGTTTTCGGTTGGGTTCGGTATATGTTGATTGTTAGCCTGACATGTTGGTCATGTTGCTGTTAGCATAAACAAAACATGTCGCACAATGCTTGCACATTGTTTTTATCCACAACTTTCTTTCCGCCGTCATCGTAGGTCACTCTAAATGCAAAGCGCTCCCATACAGCAGACCTATAAAGTGCTGCTGGCGCGTCTTCCAACTCCTGTTCTTTCCCACTCGCCATACCAACACAATTCTCCACAACAACAGATTTTTTTCTTCTACACCCAGCTACACTGCTTCGCTTCTTCTTCTTCTTGTTTACTACTGGTGGTTGGCTTTGGTCGTAGTACCGCCACCTTCTGCTCTGGAGTGTAAATGCTTCCTCTATGAGAAAAAGGAGCAGCGCATGAACCGAACGCAACACACGCGAATCGAACCGCGAATCGACCGGTCGAAATGAACGGTTCGGACGGTTTTCATAAACCGTTCCATTCCTAATATATATATATAAAATCCTGTCATCTTTACCGTTGACAGGCTGCGGCCATGTCCTGAATCCCTGGTTTTCCAGCCACTTTCGATGAAAACTGCATTTTCCCATTATCTAGCTTTTTCTCTGCCTCGAGCTTCTGTTCAGAACACAACGGTTTACAATCAACAGGAAGCCGTTATATCTGATATAATATATCTGATGAAATTGTTTGTATAAATTTTTTTTTTTAACTAAGTATTTTAAATGCCACGATAATCAGATGTAATGAATTTTAATGCCAATTAAGGCCTTAATTTCAAAACATAATGATGTAATGACTTTTAATGAAACTTTGTAACATCTGGGTTAGTAACAGCAGCAGCAGCAGAGCTCTGGAGGTCCAAGTTATGGGTAGATTTCAACGGCTGTACGTCAACACTGACATTTAATGTGCAAAAGGGCTAAAAGCTCCTCCGGTAAACACTAATGCTAACATGTAAATACAGGTAGGTGGTGGAAAAAGCTGCCTGTGATCTGGATGCAACTCTACAGTAAATATTCTATGGTACACACTACAGCCAAATCACCACTTCACTGTACTACAGACTACTGTAAGGATAAATGTGGAATGACTCCTGCATTGATACAAGTATAGTTTCACATGTATAACGACATCTATCTATGATTTTCTAGAATACTGCTTGGATTGTTTCCATCTCTAATGAATCTGCTGATCTATTGCTGATGAAACACTGATCTATAAAGTGCATTAAGTGGGTAACAGCACAGCGACTCAATGGAAACAGCTGAGGTTCCTACTTAAACCAGCAGGAACTAAAAATCCCTTTTTGACCTCATTCTGCAAGTAAAGCTTTAGTGTTTGCTGGTAAACTAACAAAAAGCTTCAGAAAAACACAAACAGTTAAAGGGTGATTCGAATCCCTGTTTGAGTGGATAGAAGGAGTAATTCTCTAAAACACACATGGACGTCCTTATAAAATCCCATAGCTAACAGTGCGCAGAGTAAAACTGGAGGGTTAAGGGTTAAAGTGGCCCGTTGCCGCCGGAGTCTGAGGAGCAGAAGGAGGTCAGGTTCCCACCGACGTCCTGAGGAGGAGTTCTGCTTCCTTCAGTAAGGAATCTGGTTCTGGTAATACTGCAGCATGTCGTAGGTTTTGCTCCTGTTCAAATGAAACAAAGAACATGATTAAAATTCAATGAGAGATTTTCATTTTAAGTTCAAACAGAAAACACGTAGTTTCTAATTTGATAGAACGTACAAAATAAAATACGACACAAGTGAAAAAATGTCCAGCATTTTTATTGTTTATAGCATACAATTATTTGCTAAGATAGCAGATGATAAACTCTTCATTCAGTCACGTGACCCACTGAGTGACGCCGTGACGTCAGGAAGTAGTGATAGCGAGTCCATATTTATTCACCTTTGTGATGGAGTTTTTATTTTTTTAACGAGGACGAATACGAAGCAATCAGAGTCTCGGTGGTTTTATAAATGCTCACTGGTCTAATCACCGCTGCTAAATGATCTTTGATCTTACGCAGACTCGGTGGAAGTTCATTAACTTTCAGAGCATTTTCCAGGTGCTGCTGTGTTTTAATTCATTTAAACCAGAGTCTAACTTTTAGTTTAAAGAGGTGAAGATATTTCGGTTGGCGGTCAGTGTCGGAGCTGTGTGTGTGGCGCTGGCGGTTCTGCATAGCAGGCTGTGCTTTGCTGCGGTGCCTGGACAGGGTCCCTCGATAACCCGATCGCAGCGAGCAGTCCAAGCACCGGGTCCTTTCTGCTGCCCGGGTGGGAGCATTGCCATTGGGATGTGGCTTTTACCCGGTTCGGCTCACGGCTCCGTGGCGGTGGGGTTGGAGCTGTGGGTCTCCGCCTGCGGTAACTGACTGTTTTCCATCGCGGTTCTTGTTCTTCTGGAGCCCAGAGCATAAGGTTATGAAAATCCGTCTGGAGCTGCAGCTATACATCCATCCATTTTCTTCTGCGAGCGCCTGGTAGCCGGCCGGGCTCAGCCCGAACAGCAGAGGGATTCGTAGGGTGGGTGGCGGTCGAGTCGGGTTGCCTCAACTGCTTGGAAGTGAGCTTTATTGCCATCAGGGACTTGAAGCGATACAACAGAGAAAACAAGCCGCTGATACTTTGGTATATTGAATCCAACTGATGCTGTGAGAGGAGGTTTAACTACACTGACATCACAGCTGGGGATCCCTAGAGGCGCACGGCATACTGTAAAAGTCTCTAGATTTTTATTACTTGGAGCATTTTTAGTGCGATTTAGACCAGCCTCATAGAGATAAGAAAGGATAATCTACCTCCACACGATAAAACTGCTCTAGACGCACTAAAAGACAGAAAATGCTTTGTAGATCATATTCAATGTAAAATTTGTTAGATTTTTGTTTTAAAAACAGCTTTCAGAAATGATGTTTATATCTTAGCCTTAAAAGACGTCGACATGAACTGGAATCCTTTCCTGGAAATAAATGGCTGCTCTGTCTTTTCTTTAACCGTGCTTTGGCTTAGCTAGGGTTGGTCTTCAACCAATGGCGTAAATATCGGTAAGCAGAGATGGCAGTTGCTTAGGGGCCCACGACTTCTTAGGGGCCCCATAACTGACACCTGGTGGGCCCCCGACGCAATTGTAGACTAGGACGTCTCTTTGCAGATGTAATGGTGCGAACCCGCCTGATCCTGAAGTGACTGACCGGACCATATTTATACCGCAACACATGGCAGATTTCAACATGATGGTGAGCCGTTTAAAGACGACACAAAGCAAAGCAGACAGTGGTACTTTTAATTACTATGTTAATAACTGTGTATAGTTCATTGGACGGTTGGTAAAAAATACACTCATAATAGGTTTTAAACTACAATGAAGATCATAAAAGAACGACGTATTTGAGTATTTTATTTTTTACGATACGACTTGGAATAATGGATAATCCAGAGCGTAGATTAAAACCATAACCTTTATGTGCAATGTGTTAGCGACGATGGATACCAAAAAGAGGTACTTAAGAGGATTCCAGAAAAGAAAAAGGAAAGCAGAGCTGCTGGAAGAATGGAAAAAACTTCCAAAGTAAACACTTTCATTCAATGAACAGAAGAGGATGAAGAAGTGTTTATGTATGGGGGAACGTTTCAGGTCGGTTGTCCACGGCGGCGGCGGTTCGATAAGCATCTGAAATGAGTTTTTGGAACTTGGGATGTCTGTACCATGTGGTGGTGTGCTGTCACCAATGGTTCCTTTCAAGCTCACTATAGTACATCCCAAGTGAAAAAGATGGATTTCAAGGAGGATTTCCATATCTTTATGATCCGGGCTCCAGAACAACAAGAACCGCTATGGAAAACAGTCAGTTACCGCAGGCGGAGACCCACAGCTCCAACCCCACCGCCACGGAGCCGTGAGCCGAACCAGGTGAAAAGCCACATCCCAATGGCAATGCTCCCACCCGGGCAGTCACTATTTTTCCAGGCGTGATGTGTGATCCTAAACTACTGAGAATTGCATAACTGTATCTTCTTGGCTGGAACTGTCGCCGTATGACGTGCTGTACTTCATATGGGGCCCACCCCACATATTGTTGCTTACGGGCCGATTGTTGTGTCGTTACGCCATTGTCTTCAGCAGAGGAACACAGTTTTTCATCAGATAAATAAATATAGCATTAAATAAGCAGCAGGACACGGAGCGACTTTCTCACCTGCTGCTGAGGAAACAACTCTGGATGACCTTTATCATGAACGCCGCCGCTTCTTTCTCACTCATCTGCGGGTTAAAGCGTCCCCTGAGAAGAAAGGGAAAAAGCAACAACATCTTTAAAGTCTCTGACCTACATGAAAAAAAAAAATACATTAACATTAACAGTGAATTTGAACTTTTAAAAAACAATGGCAAATATTCTTTTGAATACCTTTGACAGTTGGAAAAAATAAGAGATTAATAATAAGATCAAAATTACTCGTTTGTAGGTTTTATGCTTCTTTTTATGTTAAACTCCAAAGCACTTTTCCAAAAGGATACCATTTTAATGAGGATTATCTATTTTGCACATGAAGATTTTCTTTTTTAACGTAAAAAATTAAAGGTAAATATTTTAAATACTTTGCAAAATAATGTGATGTTCTGCTTAAGAACAATCATTCGTCTTAGTTGGTGAAATTGAAATAATGGACAGCATATCTTGAATTCATTATAATTCGGTACCTTTAAGGTTATTGAAGGGGGTTAGAGTGGAAATGTGTTCAAAAAAAGTGGAAATTTATAAAATGAAAAAGTTAAATAAATAATATTTCATACGGTCTGTCACATGTTTTTCCTAAAAAGCAACTTGAGATAAGCAAAAGGAGGTGATAACAGTAAATCTGTTAACAAGAAAAACATCCAACAGTAAACTGATGGTATTTATTTTATTTTATTTATTTATTTAAAAATGCCATAAAGGACTAAACGTTTCTGCAGGTTAATTTAGCTCAAAGTCGTAGGGAAGAGGCCGTCCCAACCGTCGCATTTCTGAATTCTCCCGAGTGGTGCACAACTTTACAGGAGTCAATAAAGTGAATGTGATTGGTCATTTATTAAGAGGGCGGGATTGTTGTGGCGAAAGGCTTGCAAGCAAGTTTGGTTGTGGCCGGTTTCTGGGAAGCATCTTGCTAACCAGTTAGCAACTTAGTGCTAGTAGGTTCCCAAAGGGAAATTCCATTGGGACCAAGTAGCACTAAATTGGTGACTTAGAAACGACATCCGTCTCTTTTCAATGGAGCGCTCACAGAGCTCAGAGTATTAAGTTAAAAGTTCTCTTCTCTGTTGCTGTTGTTCAATAAAAGTACGTTTTAAAATCATTTGAGGCTAGAACATTACACGTTAAAGCGTCACTATATGGCCCATTTACAGATTTAATGCATAATAAAAAAAAAAATTCCAATGTTGAGATGACTGCAGCAACCACCAACCGCTGGTGGTTGCTAATACTAGCCCGTCTGCTGCAGCCCTCTTTCTGCATAGCTGTGTGTGAAGGATCGCTGGCTCTGACTGTGAGTTTTTGGTTTTATTTGGCAAAATGTTCATTTTATTTGTGTTTATCTGACTGTGTTAACTATTATTCCCTCACTAAATGAAAAAAGTCAGAATTTATTATTATGTAGAGACTATTAATAACAGGAGGTGAAATGCAGCTCCAAGAGGAGCGTGTAGTGATGTCATCAGCACGCTTCTTTTCCAATTGACCCATATTTATTCTGCGTGCTCCCTTTCTCCCCAAGTCTGTACTTTCCTGTGTTCTTCTCAATAACATACATGGCGAGTATATGAGTCCGTACTCGCGTTCTTGTGAATTGAGAGACAGTAAACAATTCGCTCTCCAACTACACACCTGTAACGGTCACCACTACTCTGCGAAGATTCTTATTTCAACAGTTGCGTATATTAGCTGCGACTAGGGTTGGGAATTGAAAAGATTTTCACGATTCCGATTCCGATTCCCTTTTCGATTCTATGAAACGATTCGATTCTTTATCGATTCTTTTTTCGATTCCAATTTGGGGAAAAAAGGAGAACAAACAGTTTGATTATCAGCATCAACTTTGTTTACTTAACTATTGCACAATCTTACAAACTCAACAAGATCAAGATGTCCACAGGAATTGTGAAACTGGAGTAACATCTGTGTTTAAATGAAAAATGAATACAAGAACAAACTTAATAACCAACAATGTCTAATAACAAATGATGGGATAATAACCTATTTTAAATAACAAAAAAATACTAATTATAAAACAGTAGTAGGGGAAATTAACAGTTCTTTTGCAGAAAGATGAGCATATCTGCTTTTTCTGGAAGGATACGGGATCTTTCAGGGCTTATGGTGTCTCCAGCCGTGGAGAACACCCTCTCAGATGGGGTGGAGGAAGCCTGCACACAGAGGTAGTTTTCAGCCAGTCCAGATAGCAAGGGCAGCGTATCTTGCTTGTTCCACCACCACAGTGTGGCGCTATCCCTGCAGGGGATGGAGGGCAAGCTTTTATAGAGCTGGATTTCCTGATCTACCCTCTGGGCTAAGGAAAGACGGGGCTTTGATTCACAAAGTGACCGCAGCTCGTTGTCTTCCTCCTCGAATAGTTCTTCCAACTTGCGTAACTTGCGTAACTTACGTAACTTGCGTAACTTACGTAAAGAACGTGACGTAAGTTGTGCTCCCCAGAGCCGACGCTCTAGGCTCTGGTGCTGCGGGAATCGAAAAAAGAATCGTTCAGCGAGCTGCCAAACGATGCCATGGAATCGGAAAATACGGAACCGGTTCTGAACAGGAACCGGTTTTCGATTCCCATCCCTAGCTGCGACATATGAATCAAGATGCTATGACCAAAAAAACTTACTGACAGATGAGCGTTGATATGTGATTGGCTGAATTTAGGTGTTCAGGCTGATGTATAACTAACTGGCCTGCATAAAATAACGACAAAAAAAAAAACAGCTTATAAGACAGGATTTTTTTTTAACAAAAATTTTCTACATTTTGGGACAATATCATCCGATAAAGAGCATATTTATATACATGTTTAAGCCAGAATGATTTGACATTTAAATATGATTCCCCTACGACTTTAAATTCCTTATAGCAATAGACTGAGTAGTTTTTTCAATCTCTGGGCTGATATCAATATTATTATCAATTTGTTGAACCTTTAATTAAAACTTTAGCTTTATTGCAATTAGGGCTGCAACAACGAATCGATAAAATCGATAAAAATCGACTTTTAAAAGCGTTGGCAACGAATTTCATCATCGATTAGTTGTGTCGCGCGATTAATGCGTCATCCGCCGCGCCGTCATCACATCCACTTGACTGAAGCGGGGGAAGAAGAAAAAATACGGCAGCGCTGCAGGTGCAGTGTTGCCGACTCAGCGACTTTTCAGACCCCTCCAGCGACTATTTTTCAAAAAAGCGACTAGCGACAAATCTGGCGACTTTTTTCGGTGTCACTGGCGGCTTTTGGAGACTCTTACGTGAAAGCATGTATCATTCCTACTCTGCCGTGGGGCGCCTCCCCCATCCCAACCGCGTTTTCCCACAGGAGTCCTTCTCAGCGCTGCAGTCAGAGCCTCAGCGTCCAGACTGCAAATGAAGCGCGCATGCACCGGGATTGACGGCGCAAATTGATCACAATAATTAAAATAGCCTGCGCTTTGTAAAGTGAAAAAAGTGATAACATGCAACTTTTGTCAAAACAAATTAACATGGCACGGAACCACCATGTTTGTTTGGTTTTAAAGTGGGGAAACGTAACGTTAGTTTCTCAGGTAGCTCATCTGATGCTTTCCTTACCGTGTTAGTAGGTTACAGACAGTGATAAGGTTGGCTACTTATTTTACTTTTAATTTCATTTGAATTAGCTCAAGCAGCGTTTATATTTTCTTTATAAATAAATTAACTTGCAAATTATGAGGGCAAGGCTTGTAAAGTTTAAATCTTCTGGCAAAGATAAAGTAAAGATCCTGCAATTTATGGAAGTAAAGCAGAATAAAATCCAGCAAGATCAGTAATATGTCAATTAATTATATGCCACATTCCCATGTAAATATCTGTCTTTGGAGGATGTGTTTTTTAGCACCCCTAGTTCTCTCATTTTTATTCCAAATACAATTTATAATTTGAATCACAGGGCTATTTTTATCTCTATGGTTCAGTATTTTCTCAAGTAGCAACTTTAACTGCTATACTTTCCTGTCTTAAAAGGCAGAACTCTTCTAGTCTAAAAAAACTCATTTGTTGAAATGGGGGGGCCTATTGTTTGAACCCCTTAGGGGCTTTTAAAAACAAAAATGTCTCTTTTTGCGCTTTATGAAACAAAGTACCCTATATTTTGTGGATGTACAGCTACATTTCTCATGTAAGTTTGCGTAGTTTTAACACAAACATTTATTTTTCTTATTGCAACAGTACAGTTAATGAGCAACCTGTACTTGTGTGCTTGTTTGTTCTGTCTAAAATGTTTATTTTGGAATGAAGAGGTTAATATAAAAAATATTTTTTGTCCGATTCATCGATTAATCGAAAAAATAATCGTCCGATTCATCGATTTTTAAAATAATCGTTAGTTGCAGCCCTAATTGCAATAAATCTATAGTTTCAGCCTTGACAAAAAAAAAAAAAATATATATATATATATATCTATATAGATATATCTATATAGATATATCTATATATATCTATATATATCTATATATATATATATATATATATATATATGTTATCCAATATATATACTGTATATATATATGTTGGATAACATATATATATATATATATATATATATATGTTATCCAACTTTCAAAGCTTTAGAATGACTATTTACAGTAATTTAAGGAATAAATTACATCACATAGTTTGATTTGGCTTTTACAAGGTACTAAAATGATCTAAATGAAACATGAAGTGTTTAAAATGACGCTTAACAAATCCCACAATGTCTTACTTAAAAAGTAAAAGTCTTAACAGCAAAGGCCAATCTGTTTGTAAATACCGGGTCTCGGGTATTTGTATGGGTTGAAGTTTTGCATATTCAAATCTTACTTGAGAAGCTTGATGGTTTGTCCTCTGAAACATGGCAGTCCTGTGTCCAGCATGAGAGTCACCAGGGAAACCACTGCATCCATATAAGGACTGAAGGCAGAAAAATAAAACATGTGAAACAAAGCCAAGCTGAAAGGAGAGCAGAAGCTGAACCTACACTTCTCTCACCGCACAGCCAGATATCCTCTGACACACATCTCCATGAACCACTTAAAAGGGGTAGCCTCCATTTTGCCTCCCATGATCATCACCATCTCATCCGTCAGCTTGATGTCCGGCTCCCAGCCCAGGTTACCGCCTGGGGAGCTTTCAAACATGAAGCCGAAATCTGGAGAAAAACAATCTATGTTTTTAGGAGGAATCAGATGCAACAGCAACAAAGGTTCTCAGGATATCCTACCGATGTGGATCAGGTGGCCCTTGCTGTCCAGCATGATGTTGCCATTGTGTCTGTCTTTGATCTGCAGCAGGAACAGCAGGAGGCTGTAGGCGGCCATGCTGCGGATGAAGTTATAGCGAGCCTGAGGGAGCGGTAGGAGAGCAGGACGGGTGAGCAGAGCACCTCTGTCGTCACAGTTACTATTTATTAGTGATGCATCCAGCAACAGTGATGCGTGGAGCCTATAGAGCAAAACACTGTTTTGCTGCGCGTTTCCAGAAAGTCATGTGACCGATACCGATTGTTTTCTTACTGACTGACTCACTAAACTTGTGGTTAAAAACGTATTTGTCAACATGATGCATCTGCTTAAAAAATATCCCATCTTTTGCGGTTTATCATTAAAATGATCAAGAATTTGGAGCAGCCGGAAAGCACTAGGAACGTTTCAGCCGTTGTTTTATTTAAATTTTCTCGCTGTATCATCCTTTTCCTCTGTTATCACTCAACTTATCTGAAATAAAGCTAATTTTAAATTTACTCTTAGTTTATTTACTGTTTTAACTGTACTTATTGTTTTAAAAATATGATTTAAAATCCTAGCATCCTCATTCATCTTTTTCCCCAAAATGTTCACGTTATGATATATGTTTACATTATTTATTAACTCCATCTAAAAATATCAAAGATATTTTCAATTAATACAAATAATACAATATTACCTACAATAACTTGAATTATATCATTGTACTAGGTCATCAAACCAATTCAGTTTAGTCTGTTAAAATCAGCTGCCTGTAGTGTCTTTAAATGTCCAGCAGGTGTCAGTATTCTGTGAGACAGGATCAACGCAGGATTGATACAGTTTGGCAATGAAACGCTTCAAGATGCCTCATTAACCCATCAGTAGAATTTATTACCTTTTCTGTCATTTTAGCTTAAAGATTTCCCTCCAAAGTACAAATTCCTCTTCAAACTTCTGAACAAAGTTGAACTACAAACTCTGACTTCAATGGGTTTTTTTAAGGATTTTGAGTAAAATGCTGATTAAATAACAGAATGCGATGCAGACGGAGCAAGCTGAATTATTTGTGAAGCAAAGTTTGATGGAAAACATCTGAGGAAGCGTCTGGTTTAACTCCAGATGTTTCTCCAGGCAGAAGAGCAACAACTTGTAAAAGTTTTAGATCCACAGCTATAACGCCTGCCCGCGTAGCACAGTTAGCATCGGTACCATGTTGGTACAAAATACACTGAAATGTTTTGGTAATATTTTGGCCAAATGTTGTGAAAGATTAGCAAGGTGCTTCTCTTTTTTTTACTATTTTTCAAGGCTGTAAAAAATGAAATTGTCCAGAGAGCTGTTCTATGCGAAATTTCTTTTTGTTTTACACAAATAAATCTGTCTAAGTCTCTATGGAGCTAAATTGGGGCCAAATGTTTGTTAATTTTTTTCTTCTTCTTTTTTTTTTTTTAAATAAAACAAGGATTTTAGATTGGAAAGAGGAAAAAATAAAATTAAGTGTTTAAAACACCTTTGAAGATCTTTTTTCTTTTTCAATTCCACATTTTTTTTGTTTAAAAGTGCCGTCCCTTGGGTGTGGGGGCGGGACTTATAGATCACACGGGGTTGTAGAGTGATGACTGACAGCTTCGGTGCCTGAAGGAAACATTCCCATGAGATGCATTCAGGAACTGTGGGAACTAGAAATGTCTCATTCTTATTCAACTTGCTTTATTTTCATGTGAATAGTTTTGAAAAATAAAATTTTTTAAATGCTTTGAATATTACTTTTCAGTTTTACACACATTTCTTATGGAATACTTTTCAGTGTTAAACATATTTTTTTCCAAGTTGAAAAAAATGTTATTTAACTAAATTGCCCCAATTTTGCTCCAAAGTATCCATACAAAAATTACATTTTTTACATTGTTTAACCATTGATATAACAATCTAATAAAACTAACAAGCACTGTATTTCATTTGATCTGCGTAAAAACAGATAAATCTACTATAGAATTACTTTTAATGTTTAGTAGCAGATCTCTTCAGCATTGTCCTAACAATCAACATCGCTTTACAGTGGTCTGTATGAGCGCGTTTAATAGAGACAGGCTGATACATCTGCCGGTCGATATTTTTGCCGATATAAGCAATTTTTTTTCCTGGTATTGTTTCCAGATGTGTTGATGTGCTGTCATCTGTTGAATGAGTCATCAGCGCCTTTGGCAGAGATGCCTTGAGATCATATAAAGTGCATCTACTATCTATTTTTCTATCCAGGTTCGCTGCTCAAAAGTACGCTGATCAGTTGGACTGACGTCAGAATCAGCCTTAAAGAAACCTGTATCGTCAACCTCTAATGGTTAAGCTCAACCAGTCTCTCATGATTTTTCATTCGGTTATTAAGGTAAACTTTAAAAATGTAAAAGCTTAAAAATAAAAAACGAAAGAGAGAGTAGAGGCAAGATAATTAGAGCTTCAGACCTTCTGGAAGGCGAGGGTGGATTCATCGCCGTACTGGTTCCGGAAATAATCGTACATCCCAAAGTCAGTCTGACGACCCAGCTGGTCTCTGGATTTGCAGTCTGGGATGCACTCGATGACGCCGCACTGAGGAAAGAAGGATCAGTCAGATCAAACTCAGGGAAGCTTGTCCATCAGCAATGGGACCCAGTGAGTTGAAAGACGAAGCTTTTAAAGGAGAAGTCCAGTCATATTCAGAATTCCAACTTCTGAAAGTACTTTAAATATTAAATTATTACAAACTGTTGTTTTTAATTAAGAGTAATTTTCATTTGAATGTGCTTTACTGGAGGCATCCATGTTTGTCAAAGAACACTACTGCCACCTACTGGTTTGTGACTTCACGGTGCGATGGACTGAGTTAAAAAAACAGGAGTCACTTGATATTAATTAGAAAAATAGTTTTTTTTTTTTTTTACCCCAAAAATAGATGACAAAAGATAAACTGAGCTCATAAAAGAGGTCAAAGAAACAAAACTGAACTCAGGAAAAAATGCAAACAAACTGGCTGTACAAACAAACATAACTGACCTACAAAGAAATGACAGACAGGGGTTTATATACTGGCTGATCAGACCAATTTAGACACAATAGGGGTAACTAAACAGAATACAATTACAAACAAAACAAATAACAGTACAGCTAAGTTTGACTAAACTAAAGACTCACAAAATGAAAATCAAAAACCATTAAAGTCCAAATACCAATATTCACCTAAATGCAAAACTCATCTAAAGAAAGACACTACACATTCCCCCGCCAGCAAGGACCAGTGGTGCAGTCCAATCAGCATCCAAATTTGCTGAGCCCTGGCCCCCCATCTTTTGTCAACTTCAGAGTGCGGCCATGGATTTGGCCATCACATGCGGTATCGGCTGTTGATCAAGTCCCAGTGCTGTATCTGCTGTTTGTCACAATGCGCTATTATCCAAGTCATCTTGAAAACATTCTTCTTCCAAATATTGGCTACATATTACGTGTTTTTCTCTGGCCAGAAGTTCGATGGCAAATCCTCCCTCTTTGAGTTGGCAATCCAATGACGAACCCGTCCGTGGAGGATCAGGAATCAGAAAGGCGAAACTAACTCATTTCTTTTTCCACTTTTACCTGATGCATTCCAACATCCAGCTGCCATGCACGTGGGCATTGTCAGTTTCACTATAGCTCTGGTGAATTTCAATGGTGAAGTCCTCTGGAAATCTTCAATAATTGTTGTTGATTGCAGATGTGTCTAGTAGTTCCCATTGATTTTGCTTGTAAAGCGGGAAGAATGGCGCTAGGCTTACCGCTCCGTGATGTTACTGCCGGAAGATGTCAGGAGTGAGGCGTTACTATATTTGGGCAAAAATGGCCGCTCCCAGACTCAGTGATCTTAAAGAAAATGTTTTATTTTTATTTTTTTACTGATTAGCGCTAAATTCATTAAATCACCACAAACGTATTAGTTTTAGGTATGAATAATGATCCATTTATTATTCCTTGCTGACCAGACTTCTCCTTTAAGACAGATATCATTACTGATGAACTGAAAAAAAGATGGTTTTATGCATGGAAATACATTATATTTCATAAAAAAAAAAATTAAATACAGTTTAAACCCCTCTTTGCAAAAACACAACAAAAACAAGATGGTAATAAATATCAGTTAATTATATCGTCCCTGTTTTTCTCAGTGGACCAATTTGAAATGTAAAGATATCCCTATATTAACTCAAGATAGATGAATATCAGAATAATACAGAGCAGAATATTACAAAAAGACTAGTTACCCCCGGCGCCGTGGCGACCACTCGGTAGGGGAAGACGAACAGATCCAGACCCACCAGCTGGAAGATGTTCTTAAACAGCCCGATAATCTGCAGAGCAAGCATGTCCTGCAGGAAGAAGAGCATCATGGGAGGGTCACACTCTTCCACTAATTCACTGTGGATTCACTGAAAGAGAGAGAAATACCTGTCTGCAGTCATCTCCCACTTTAAAGATGGCCGCCTGCCAGCAAACCCTGCCAGATCCGTCTGGATTGTCCTCTCCGTCCTCCACGGAGTCTGACGGACAGCGCAGACCCTCCCTCTCCAGTTCGCTCACCCCACAGCGCTTCACCTTAAATTTGGCCAGATATGGCGCCTTGGCAGCACTACAAACACAAACCCAGATGAAAGACACAGAAGAACAGGTGGATAACGCTAACTCCTTAAACACCAGGACTGATTACCTCTGCATCGGGGTTCCAGACTTGTAGTCAATGTCCAGGACTATGGCTTCTGGGTTGCTGGGTAGATAACAGCCTGGAGGAGGAACAGGAAATAATCAACTACTTGACAACACGTCAGACGAACAATGATTCTTATTCCTTCAGCTTTTAATATTTAATACATCATAAACAGGCTTAAAAAGCTGCTGCTGAATTCACAATACCAACAATAGCACTGATAAATCTAATAGAACTGATAATAGACTTTCTTTTCACATTTGACATGAAGTAAATAAAATAAAAAATATCAAAACTAAATGTTCTTTAATGAAATACAATTCTTCAAAATCTGCTGAAAACATTTTTCTATAGAGTCACTATGCTATGCTTGCAATAACTGACACGAACCGACGTTTCAATCTTGTCTTGGTTAAAAAAGGTAAACAATACCTGTGAAAAAAGAAAAAGCAGGTTTGGATCTTCAAATATACAACAACGTTTAGAGAATGGACGGAAGCCGTTCTAACAGTTCAGCATACCACCCATCATTAATGCGCATGCGTGAATTTCAAGCTGTCCTTCCAGCATAACCCCCCAACTAAATTCATGTTTGTTTTTTTTACATATTATATTGTGTTTTAACCATTTGCATAAAAGTGAACGATAGCATAGCAACAGACTTCCGTATGATTTTTTTTTTTTTTATTGTTGTAAAATCATTTAGTCTTATTTTAAATCATTCAATATGGTGCTAGATAGAGTTTAGAGCTTCTATGTCAGAGGTCACGGATTAGCGGATCGCGGTCTGGATCCGGTCCCACCTGCTGGCTAATCTGGACCCAACCTGTTTTAAAACATTTAGAAATTACCGCATGTTGTCTGATAGCAGTGTCTAATTTCACTTGCGCCACTTCTCCTGTTAATACGGTAAAGCCCTCCCAGAGCGTCCGGCACCAGGCTACACCTGATACAGATAAGCCAATGAGCTGCTGTCAGTCTGGGTTGCTGCTGCTGCTACTTTTGGACACAGCAAGCAAACCTGTGGTAATTTTTTATATATTTTTATTTAAATATTCAATGTAGAACATGGATGCATAAACACAATTTTATTTCACTGTTAAATTCTGTATAAAGTAACAGATTATAATTAAAAATGTCTCCGGACCTTTAGTGGTTGTTGATTTTCTTTATTCGGACCCCCTTGATTTTTTAATTGGTTCCCCCTGCTCTATCATAACAGCAAACCACTCCATTAACCGTTTCATACTCCTTCATAAACACTGGTAAACTGTTTCGAAAAGTACTCTGAAATGACAGAGAGCTATAAAGCAATTTTCTTCTAGTATGCTATTCTAAGCAGGTATGCTAAACCAGCAGAACGATTGATCTGCAAACCCCTAATTCTAAAAGTTGCAGCCAAAATAATCCTTTAAAAGCAGAGAGATTGTAGCCAACAGCTGCATACCTGGCTGCACTTTGATGTCCGACAATGCTTTGAGACAAGCCCGTTTTCTCTCATCTCCCTTTGGAACCGGTCTGAGAATAGAAACAGCAAAACAGAGCAGACTTAGCTCCATCACCACATACATGCAGAGCAGACATGCAGAGCAGCACTCACTTGATGATGGCAGACACGTTGGTGATCTTGTTAAAGAAGTCAAACTCTCTTTGGTAGAAATCTTTGGCCGGGCCGGACAGCGACCCCATTATCTCCTCCACCATCTGCTCCAGCAGCTCCCCGATGTCGGCTGCATGGACAGATGAGTCAGCGTCCATTAAAGGGGAAAATACACCAAACGCTTTCCAGTGCAGAATGGTCTAAATTCCTCCTGCTCTACTTTGTGTTTTTTCTTCAAAATTATATACAAAAGATAAAAGTTGTTCATTCTTTTGCACTCAATCAAAAGTTCTTCAGATGATCAAGACATGGACTTTTATGGGATTGAAATATGGGACATATATTACAGGTCATTTCATAACTTGCTGAAGTGACTAGACGTCCAGATTTGTGTGACACTTTCTTGTATGTTTGACTTGTTTTCCAGCTTTTTTTTAATTGTCATTACATTGTCACACAGAGCAACAAAATGAACTCTGCATTTAACCCCCCTTGGGGAGCAGTGGGCTGCACTGTGCGGCACCCGGGGAGCAGTGTGGGATTAAGGCCCTTTGCTCAGGGACCAAGAGTGGCCGTCTGTGGGAGTGGGGCTCAAACTCAAAACCTCTGGATTCCACGCACAATGCCCTCACCACTAGGTCGTGGTCATCTTGGAAACTGCTTTCTTCACAGATTCAGAGGTGTTATTAGTTAAATAAGTATAAAAATAGATGTAAAAAAACCCAAAATATTAAAAAAAATCTATTAATATTTTTGGGGGTTTTTTGAGTTAATATTTCACATTTCTAGAAATCTAGAACTATTAGCAAAAATATCCAAACAACACTTGTATTTGGTTCTTGCTAAATGAATGCTAAATGCTATGTTATGTTACTAAATTAATACTGAATCCAGATGCAGAGTATCGATACTAGTGACACTTAAACCTGAACTGGTAAAGGATTTAAATCCAAAATGTGATGGAAATTTTGGTTAGAAAAATATAATGAAGCCACAATAAAGACAATAAATAAAGCCTCTTACCCACTGAACATATCAGGTAAACATGGGTTGATCGGCTGACTTATACTCAGAAACCAGGTCGTCTGCGTGTGCTCGCAGTTAAAGCAGATATGCCCCGCCCCCTCCACAGACACTCTGCTGCACCTCTCCAAAAATGTAGGTGACCGCAGACAGAAGGCCTCTGATTGGTCAAATCTACATCCCACTCTACACTATCCGTATTTCCTGTTTGGTATCTTACCAGCTTGTTTTGTTTGTATGACCGCCATTGTGGAAAACGGCTCGTGAAGATGAACTAGCTAGAAGAGCGAGGTGCGCGAGAATGCTGGGACCCTTTTTCCACCTGGATCCGCGCTCTTTTTCGCCCTCATGACCCTCCGTTGTCGCACAAACTGGCCCCCACTTCCTCACCGCCTTGGGCCGTATCTAGACCCACAGCTAGTTCCTGATTGTCGTCTTGCGTTGTGGCGTGGAGTCACATAGCGCAGACCACGCTTCAATATTGGGCATAAATTAAAACTCAACTCCATTTCACTTATTTATATATCAAAATACCATGCTGATAAAATTCCAGTCCACGTTTTCAACACAACCTTAATGCTAACACACAGGGACATGCCAGGTTAAATCCAGTCCGTATTTTAGCACCAGCCCACCTATTCACTGTGCTGACTGAGCAGAGCTGGACATGAACCAGATATTGAAAAAAAGACAGGGTTTTCCTAGCAATATTACAAGGTATGCCATTGGAATTTTATTTTATCTTTTCTGGACTAAGATAATTCGATTTGTAAATTATTGAAAATTTGAAGCAAAATACTTGAGTGAATATGAATAAACTATACAACAGCTTGCCTAAATTATCAGTGTGGAGAGAATGTAGGATCAGATCAAATGGTTTGTTTTTACTACATCTAGGGCGTTCTTTTTTTTTTTCAATCAAGCTTTAATCCTTGTTTCCTCTAAGTTAACCTCCTGACTTAATCCCAGTTTAAGTTCATGTTTTGCTCACAAGTAAAATAATTATTGCTCAGTCTAGTTGAATGATCTCTCGTTGGATTTTAGGACTAATTAAACCAACACAAATCTCTAAAGCTTTCAGATTTGCCTCAAAAACCCATAGGAGATCCACAAAGAAAAGAGCCGTTGCATTTTATTTTTCAAAAGATCAGCCACCCAAGAAAAGACCAACCGCATATAGAGAGGATGTGCTGAACAGCTCAGTTATTCAGGATTGATAGAGGAGAAACCAGAGGGACGTATTTAGGTCCATTAAATATGTTTCTAAACTTAAGTTCCATCACATCTACCAAAATAAAACATCCACAGAAATGCTGCCTTGTGTCATGGTGACTTTTTATACAATCTACAGCCTCTTAGAAGGTCTGAATTGTCAATTGTAAAAATTTAATAAGATAATGAGTTACGATTTTTTATTCTTAGCCTATTACCAAATATTGGTACACAGTGTAGTTTGCACGGGATTTGATTGCAATGGTTCCTGTATTAGTGCCAGTAATCCAGTAATAACTCATTTGTTTCCCATTGTTTATTTTACTCAAGCTGCATAGAATTATTAATAAACACAGTTGTGAAATTCTTATTTTACAGTAGATGCAAGTATTTTAGTAGGGCTCATGCCTTTTACCATAGTTCAATTCTCTGAAAATCACCAGAATATAGAACATAATGTATATTGTGTGAAAATGTTCCACATAACTACGGATCACTTATTTTTATTTGTCATTTTGGCACTTAGTTTCAGTTACCGTAATTTTCGGACTATAAGCCGCAACTTTTTCCCCATTTTTCGACCTTGCGGCTTATATAACAATGCGGCTTATCTATGGACTTTTACGGCTAACGGCCACTAGGGTAATACCTAAATCGATGGATTTTACCATCAAGCATGTTGACGTCACATTTGCTTCAACACACAAGTACGGTAGCCGCGTGCGGGGGAATGCGGAAGTCCTCCGGAAGCAGACTACTACCGTGAGTGGTACGAGACAGAACGACAGCGAGAAAGACGGATATTAAACATAAAAAACCTATAGTCCGGTGCGGCTAATAGTCCGAAAATTACTGTAAATCGTCTGAAAGCATCCAACCTATACTGTAGCTGCACCTGTCCTCAGAGTCTTGTCCCCTGTGTCTTGTCTACAAACACCCTTCACTCAGGCATTGTGTGGCCTTGCAGGTGAAACATACTGAGTAAAAAACCTTTTTCAGTGAGTAAATAGCATAAATCCATATATTAATTTTTCAATTACATGAGCCAGAGGGAAAAGGGAATGAGTGAGTCAGTGAAAGGTGATTCTCAGAGAGCTTATTCTGAGGTTTGCCGAAGTCATTTCTAAGTTTGACATGAGAGGAACGCAAAGTAAGGAAACACCAAAGAAACACACAGCTGAGACAGCTGCATTTGTCCCTCATATACGTCCTAGTTGTCCCACATTTGTTTTTGGATCTGGTCACACTAAAACGTACCAATATTCCAGTGATTAAATGATTTATGCATGTAGAAAAAGTTCCTGTCTGCTTAGAAACCTGCTGCCTCTTGGCGTACTTTCTAATCTACATTTCTCTTTTCATAAATAAAGTAAGCCGTGCCGTTCCTGTAAACATGGCTTTGTTTACAGAAGCGGGACCTCATCAGTTAACATTGAGACTCACGGTCTTTCTGGTGTCCCTCCTCATCCATGAAGATGTTGGTCTTCATGTTCCAGATGAACTGATGGGCGAGGAGCTGAGACTTCTGTGCCGCCCACAGGATGTACTCCCTCACATAACCCATCTGAATCGAAGGAAGGTTTTATTCAGCCGATCTATGACTTAATGCTTGAGGAGAAAGTAGTTCAAGTTGGTCCTTACCTTATCGTAACGAAGCGCCTGAACGATCTGCGGAATGTAGAACAAGATGGCATCCTGTGAACATAAAGAAAAATGTTTGTGCTATCAAAGAAAAAAAGAACATTTCTCCAATTTGCTGGATTTAAGAATCACAGATGTGTGACCCACTGGAGGAAAAGAGCGCAGCACTTTGACTCCATATTGCGCAGTGAGAGGATGAGGAGGGTACATGCTGCTGAAGTAGGACAGCCCGGTGGGCGGGTCGGCTGGAGCCCAACACAAGATGTGACTCAGCTCAGGAGAATCGGCATCGATAGTGTGCCATGTCACCAAGAACTGATGACCAAAAGAAAACATCCGCATTACGCCCCAGAGATCGCTTAACTCTAACTTCTCCAGATCCAGTCTAAAGGATAGTTTGTACCTTAACAGCTTCAGGAACGTCACTGACTGCTCCAGGGTCCAGCCTCACCAGTCTGGTCACCTCGGCAACTATGGCATCATTTTTAAACCTGGACACAGAGGAGGAGGAGAGTCACATGGGAGTGTGTGAAATACTTCAGATTGGAGAAGTAACTCTGCTGACCACAGGGGGGCAGCAGATAAAACTTTCTAATGTCAAATCAAATAATTCAGTCCAAGTCTTTGTTTCACAGTTTTTCTATTATTGCCTCCTTTATTTATTTATTTATTTTTATAAATAAATATGTTCCTCTTGATTTATGCATGTAAATAGCTTTATTATACAGAGGAATCCACTTATAGTGGTCACGGATATAGTAATAAACCGCTTATAGTGTTCAAAAGGCCTGGGACAGGAACATTTCTAAACAAATGCTGTTTAAATAATTGTGTATAGCAATCAAGAAACCTGCTTATAGTGTTCAATTTTTGCCATTTTATGAATGTAAACATGCAAAAATAATTAATAAGTGGATTGAAAGTGATGACAGCACTCCATGTGTCAGAGCGCTTTGGTGCGGCTACCAGTGTACCGGTAGCTACCAGAGGAGGAGGATGAAGAAGAGGCGACTGTGTCTCTTCCAGAGCTGAGATGAGGAATGCAGTTTGCATTTTAAAGACTGGTCTCCTGCATGTTGGTTTCAAAAACTTTAATATCGTTTTGAAAAAGAAGTGAACTCGCTGTTGGACAACACTCTGATCCAGGGAACCATGGATAAATATATGAAGTGATTTCTTAATGCGGCGCAGATCTACAACACAAAACAGATGTAGGCTAGCTTTTATTCTCTGTAGCCTATGCAGTTACCTCCTATGTTGTTGTTCTATGAAATCGTTTTTTTTTCAAACTTCAGACTTGTTTAAAAAATGCACCAGCGGCACCAGGCTATCAGAGTTATGTCTGCGCACAGTGCAGTATACTGTAATTAAACTTGCATGGTACTGTAATACCCATTAACACCCTTGTTTATAGATGCTGGAGATCGGCCTGTTTTCCAGTGTAGTCCTGTTTCTCTGACTGAGACTAGCTGGATTTGCTCTCTTCGTCCTCTGGCATGGGAGCTGGGCCACATCTCGTCTGCCTGGCTGTGTGTTTCCTGGACGGGGCCGCCTTTTACAGTTGCTTTTTGTATCTCTGCTTCTGTCTCCTTGAACCCCAGTCGGCCTCAGCAGATGGCCGCTCACACTGAGCCTGGTTCTGCTGGAGGTTTCTTCCTGTTAAAAGGGAGTTTTTCCTCTCCACCGTCGCTACAAGCATGCTTAGTGTGAGGGATTGCTGAAGAGTCAATGAGTCGATGCAATCAACTGGTTTTCCTTAGATAGAAAACTTTGAATCAATCTGACTGTATGATTTGGTGAACTGTAAAGTGCCTTGAGATGACATGTGTTGTGAATTGGCGCTATAGAAATAAACTGAATTGAATTGAATTAACAAAATTCTGTAAATGCGGAAGCTATCCATTTCATTTCATTTTTCTCATTGAAAAACCACACAAATGGCATTTAGATGATATTCTGCATAAAAAAATAAGTGAAATAACGGTAAATTCGGTTATAGAAATCAACCGCTTATAGTGTTTAAATTGGCTATGGGCCGATGTGATCACCATAAGAGGATTCCACTGTAATTTATGCAGGTAGCATTTTATGGACACTCCCATGGGAAAGTAGAACAGAAAAGGAAAACAGGAAAAAGGAGAAAATATGAAAGAAAGAGGAGATAAAAGGAAGACAATGATAAAACGTCTTCTGTCTGCTTCATCACCCCCAAAGAGCGATGTAAAACCACCTTTATTTATCTTTTTGATTAACTTTAATATGTTTACAAAGACAAACGCACCAAAGCCCTAAAGTCTTTGTTCACAGATTCCTACAATAAATTCACCTCACAACTTATATCTAGCTCAGAAAGTGCAAATTAAAATTCCCCTGTGAGTTCTGAAGCATCTAACTTTGGATAAACCATTATTGGCCCATTAAAAACTTATTTTTTTAAAATCATGCTCTTTCTTCCGATCCCAGCTGTTATAAAAAGCTTTAATCAAAAAAGGAAAAAACTTTTAAAAAACTGATGCAAGCCCTATTTTTTTTTAACCAGGGTGCAGCGAACGATCGCACGAGTAATTGTGAACCAAACCTTTATCCCTGCAAAGATCAGCTAAGTTAAAACTAAATCTATCAGTTCACACATCCCATAATGTCCCAGGATGGCTCCCTTTAACCTCTCCTCTGTTACTTAAAGGCTGCACACTCGTGTTGAGCAGGAGTTCAACAGTCAGACATGATCACTACAGATAAAACATCCTCAACAGAAGAAGGAAATCCTCACACATGTGGATTCTAAACCTTTACTGCACAAAAGGTTCGTCTTTGCTCCTATGTGAAAAGTTTCATAAATTTCTTGACTTTTCAAAGTTTTCAGTCATTTAAAGCTACTTTAGAAAAAATAAAATGCAAAGGTTTACAATTAGTCTACCACAAAGACTTCAGAGTTTAAAGGCAGGGGAACAAAAAAGGAAAACAACACGGGAAAGACAGGTCCATTATAGAAATAAACTTAATTGAGTTGGTTGAGGGTGGAGTCTGGATTTCCGCATAAAAAAAAGCTATAATAAAAAATAAAAAGCTACCGTATTTTCACGACTATAAGGCGTATATAAACGTCTTTTTTTCCCCTCAAAATGTGCGGCGCGCCCTTTGGTGCGGTGCGCCCTATGTGTGTTGTTACTGCGGACTTTAGAGACCACCTCATTGAGGAGATGATGAAAGAGTGGCTGAGGGAGGTGAATGTAAGGAGACCAGGTGGTGTTTTCCACTCATCACCATTGCTGTTAATCTGTGACTCCATGCGTGCCCATCTCACAGCTGATGTGAAAAACATGGTGAAACAAATGAACGCTGTGCTTATTGCGGGAGATCTGACAAAGGAACTTCAACCGCTTGACATCGGTGTGACCCGGACGCAGCAGGCGCAGCAGGCGCAGCGAGTTTACATGTAAAGTCAATGGTTGACGCGCGTATAGGCGCAGAAAAAGGTCCCGCAGCGCGTTTTGAGCAGCAGGCGCAGCGCGTCGGGAGCGTTTAAGCATCTGACGCGCCGCCAACGCGCTGCTGCTGCTCCAGATGGAAAACTTTAAGGTGTGCTGCTGGAAGCGCCGTATCAACCAATCAGAGAAGCTGATCTGGGAGCTGACAGCGAGACAGACACATCGCTGATGATGCACATATACACAGCGCTGTGATCGCTCCTCTGAAACAGTTTATTGACGCCTAAATTAACTTAACCTGCCGACAGAATATGTTCGCTTTTATTATCCTGTTTTCAGGTGGATTTTTCCACTTAAAAACTTATTAAAACTACTTTATTCCTACTGATCACAGCAAATATAGCTGCAAGGTGTATTTAATACAAAGTATTAATCAAACCTGGGAGCCGGCCGTGAGACAGACACATCGCTCTGATGACATATGATATTAAGGCAAATGAAAAGGGCTGGATGGATGAGGAGATGATGAAAGCGTGGCTGAGGGAGGTGTATGTGAGGAGACCAGGTGGTTTTTTCCACGCATCACCATCGCAGTTAATCTGTGACTCCATGCTTGCCCATCTCACAGTTGATGAGAAAAACATGGTGAATCAAATGAACGCTGTGCTCGCCGTTATCCCGGTCTGACAAAGGAACTTCCACCGCTCGACATCGGTGTGAAGCGGCCGTTCAATGTAAGGCTGCGAGCGGCGTGGGAGCGATGGATGACCGACGGAGACCACAGTTTCAGGATAAGTGGAAGGCAGCGCCGGGCAAGTTATGCCACCGTTTGCGGATGGATTGTAGATGCTTGGACTAACGTGTCTGCTGGCTCTGTTCTTCAAGCTTTTGCAAAAGCCGGCTTCATTTCCGAGGAGCCGCCCGGCACGGAAAGTGACTCTGACAGCGAAGAAGGGGAAATTGGCATGTCTGATTTAGCGCAGCTGTTTTATTCAGAAACAGAGGATAATGACTTTGATGGGTTTGATTAATACTTTGTTATAAATACATGAATAAAGCACAATCATACTCAGTTTTGCTCCCGCTCTATTTTTCTACCTGAAAACTTAATTCAACAGCAGCCTCTGGGCCGAGTCTCCTCCTCTTCACCGCGGTGGCTGGCAGGTGTTTTTTCATCTAAATAATCTAAACTGCAGGCAGCAGGATACCGGTAATAAAAGCGAACATATTCCATCGGCAGGTTTCAGGATTTTAAGTTAATTTAGGAGTGATCACAGCGCTCTGTCATCTGCGATGTGTCTGTCTCATGGCCAGCTCCCAGGTTTGATTAATACTTTTGTAATAAATACATGAATAAAGCACAATCATACTCAGTTTTGCCCCCGCTGTATTTTTAAATACGCAGTAGAGGTATTTAAAGGTAGTAGAGGACATTTACCTGTATATAAAAAATGCGCCCTATAGTCCGGTGCGCCTTATGTGTGTGTTAAATACAGAAATGGGACACACAACTGAGACTGCGCCTTTTAGTGCGGTGCGCCTTATGGTCGTGCAAATACGGTAAGTTAATCTCCAAGCTGCCTTTAAATGAGATAAAAGATCATCGCCACATGGAAGGCAGGGGTGGTGATTTGTTCCCATTTGCAGCCCAACTTCTGAGAAGTAAATGAATCAATAAAACCAACCTGTCCAGTATTTAATAAAACATTAACTAAAGTAGGCCATTAGGAACAGAAAAAACATCTATCAGACACCAAGGAAAATGTTATCCCTCACTTCACTCTCAGATCCACGTCTAACAGATCAAGGAATAAACAGATTTCCTTCCTTTTAGGTAAAATACTAAAGCTTTGTCTGCTTTTCTAAATCTCAGCTCATCTGACTGAGAACAAAAAGGCCACCTTGTAGGGAGTTGCATAGCCAGGTAAGGTGCGATGCTCCAGGCCAGGTTGACGTTGTCCTTCCACTGCTTCTCTGTCAGACTGATGTACTTGGACCTCCAGTTGGCGATGCTGGTCTCCACTGACTGCTCGGTGGCAATGGCCAGCTCCTGCGTGGACAGCGGGTTGTACCACGTTGTCAGGCGCTCAATCTCGCTGGCCTGTTGAGAGAGAAGAAGAACGGAGCAAATGTAAAAGCCTTCTGAGCAAAGAGGGTCAACTAGGTGGTCTAAACTCACCAACAACGCCAGCAGCAGAGTGCGCCGCTTCATGTAGTACTTGTGGAGCTGCGTTCCTCTGTTGCTCTTCTTAGACGTGCCTTTAAAGAAGAGGAAGTGCAGAGGTTAAACCTCCAAACACAGTTTTAGGTTGTTTCTTTGGTCCAATCACTGCTTTATTATGCTTTTTAGATTATTAATAACTAACTAAAGAGTTTTAACACCCAGAACGAAGGGTGTGACTTTGTAATGAAAGTTGGTGGGGACGCTTTAAGGGTGGTGACTGATAGACCTACAGTTACTCGACCCAAATGCTTTCATTAGGTCTTAGTATTTTCCAAAAATGAGCTGAAACATGTAGTTATTGAATGCTTTCACCAGAGAACCACAATATACTGATGAGCTATATTTATAGGTAGTTAAAGAGATGCATTTTAGTGGATTAAAAAAAAAAAAAAATATATATATATATATATATATATATATATGTAGGTATAGTAGTCAAAAACATTAATGTAAAAAACTTATGAATAATGATGCGAAATATCGATATATTACACTGAAATCTGCTTCCTCGTTGGTGAATAACCAATAGTTTGGATCCAATCATTTAAATAAATGGTGTTAGTTATTTTTATATATATATATATATATATATATATATATATATATATATATATATATATATATATATATATATATATATATATATATATATATATATATATATATATAAGAATTGTGCTATAATTTCTAGTCACCAATCTGTTGCTGCTCTATTTTCATTTGACGAACCGGAATTTGTCGATGTTCTTTCTCCTGTTTGGTGCGATTGCAATTGCGGATCTTGACCTGGCCGGACCGGAGCAAAAAATAGCTCGGCTCCGTAATTTGTCGGTGATGGACGGAGAAGACGTACGTGGACGGAGACGTGCGGAGGAGTAGCGGTGGATGTGGAACAGCTCTCATTGATTTCCATGAAAGACAAGCGCTCCGCACGACGTACGTCAGCGGGGCGGAGCGGAGCGCTGACGGAGTATGTGGAATCTGGGGGTTATGCATCCCTAGAATCTACAATTTCAGTTCCATACATCAGTTTTATTTATTTATGAACCTCTTTACTAATGTTGATGCCAGAAACAAAATTTCAAGATATGTAGAAGCTCTGCAGTCTGATTCTCTCTGCACAATAAGAAAACATGTATTAGTTTTAACCTGTAACTGGGAGTCATGGTCTTCTGACAAGCCCAGCTTTTTTAGTAAGGAAGAACATTTAAACTATGTTTTCTCAAGCTTCTTGCATTATAATACTACATTGTATAAACTTATTTGTTGACATTTTTAGCTGATAAAGCTCTGTTTGTCTAAGGAACTGATAGTTTGGTGGCATCGCTAATTTTTATAACCATCGGAGCCTATCCACGAGCCTCCTAACTTTTACTTTAACATACATCGAAGTAGCTCCCCTTTACTCCTGCTGTGCGTCTCTCCTCCAGCCACGTAGCTACTCTCTATGCAGTGAAAAGCGACCGCAAATTAGCGGTCTCAAAGCAACAGATCCAATGATGTTACACCGAGAGGCGGGACACCGGAGCAGCGTGAGAGAGAAATAAAAAACACGGACTCAAAACTCTCTGAACACAGACAGCTGCACCCAACCTCTGTTACCTGTGGCTAAAGTAAATAAGCGCAAAGGGGGGAAAAAAGCGTAAATTATTAGTGTGGACTGTCCCCATCAGGCCAAAGTTGGTAGTTCTCAGAAATATGTTCTGGTTTCAAGCTAACACATCTGGTGCATAAAGACCTGATTATTGATCATTTCCAAGCAGGATGTTTTAAATTTTACTGTGCAGTGAAATATAAAATCACTAAACGCATTAAATACAGTGAGAAAGTAAATTTACAACAGAGAACGTAAGATCAGCCTTTGCTGGACTCTCCATTTAAACTGAATACCACCTTAATAAAAGCGTCTAGAGAATCGACAAGACTGAAGCTTTTCAGTCCTTGAGGACCGTCCGGAGTGGCCCTGTGGCCGTTTGGATTAGTGCTGCGCCGATGCCGATACCATCTGTTTGAGACTGATGTGTGTGTATATATGAAAAACTGCAGACTACTTGGATGTAAAATTATTGCCATCATGGCTTTGTCAAGCTGCTGCCTACCTTTGTGAAGCAGGAAAAAGACGAACACAAAGTGAATCCAGAAGAACTTTTTATTGCCTACCTGGAATGGGTAACAATAGTTGAATTTTGGCTCTCAAAATGGTATCTGTGCCCTATTTGTTGGTACTCACCAATACCACCATTTTAGTGCTGGATTGGGGCCCTGCCCGATACTGGTATCGGTGCAACAATAGTTTGAATACAAGGTTTCTGGGCCGTTATAGGTGGCACCCCATAGACCTAGATTTTACTATTTACATACACAAATAAAGTGGATTGTTCGATGAGTCAAACTTTAACAATACCAGCAGTCAAGTCTTGATGTCTTAAAGTAGAGCTCTGTTACGGATCTAGCCATGAGTCGATCCATGATTTTTTTTTTGTATTAATATTTTTATTAGGAGTAAGAGAGACATTACAGACAAAATTTAAACTGTAAACAACATGGTATGCCATATCGAACATACATATATATGGATAGTAACGTAATGAAAGGCATATAATTTAGCTCCTGTGGGTTTTTTTTTTCCTTACAAAACTGAACAGAGTACAATGTATATATAAAAAAAAAGATAAATAAATAAATAAAATAAAAATAAATAAAGAAACAAAATAAAAATGGAGGACCCCCCATTCCAAATGAATGGACCCATTTATCAGTGTCAATTTGCATGTTTTCAAAACAAAAACAAGGTTTTGTTAGGCTACTGTATAAAACCTCCAATTCAACACTATTCCTGATATTTTGAATTGAAAAAGCTTCCTGGATGGGAAGCGAAACTTCTTAAAACTTGGGAACAAAGTCCTGTGGACTGCTTTTTAACCTTTTTTGGACATTTCCAGGCCTCGTCTGCTTCAGTTCATGTGTTTTGTTTAATGATAGTCGGGTCTCAGCCTCCGTTAGCCTCCTGGGTCTGAGCCCTGAACGCCTCGTGCTGAGCATTTCAGGCAGCTGTAGTTCTGGACAATGATAGCACCGGAGGAAAATCGGTTCCTGGCAGTTTCACTATACTATTTCAACAAATGATTTTTTTCAGCTCTCTGTTCATGATCCAAAGACTGAAAACCAATTTGCCCCAGACTATAAAAACGTTAGGTTCCCATATTCTACTCTTTTAAGCCTTTTAAAGTCACCTACAGGAAAATTACACATTTAACCTCCCGAGAGTATCATTTGTTTTCAATTTGAGCGGTTTTCCTCCAAAGCTGAAGAAAAACAAAAACACTTCAGTTCAATTCCATTTATTTATATGTTTTAAACAGACGATTAAATAGGCAGCTGCCTACACAGAGAAGCCGCCTCTTCCGTCTGGGTAGGGCCCTTTTTTACATTGTGGATATATCACACCACTTTCTGAAGACTGAACAAAGTCTCAGACTTCTTTTGGCCAAAAAGAAAATCATCTTCATGACATAGAATTGAGCTAAAAAGGAGAGTTGCTTGATTGTGCAGATTAGCTGCTTAAAAGAGCCTTTTTCTCTAACATGCTGCGCCTCACATCGCCCTTCTCTGGGCGCAGCGAGGGACCCATCTCATAGATGCACAAATCAAGTGAAATACCATGACATTGATAAAGAAACAGAATTTAAACAGTTAAAAGCTCAAAGAAGTTGATTTTCTCACAATCTCAGCCCTTATGATCAGGTGCTCCAGTTAGTGGCTGAATCCACCCATTGATCGTGGATAATTGTCAGAGTCACGTGAAAAGACAGAATCTGTTCCCTCTGCTGTCCTCCTGTAAGATAACATCCTACCTGACTTCTTAGAGGTGGTGGACATCCCACTGGACAGCGGATACGTGTTGATCCACCCCTGTCCACTCTGCTGGGAGCGTGAGCTGGAGTCCACGTTGCTCCTCATGTCAGCGGCATTCATCACTGACAGGCTGTTTAAAGATGGGTCCTGATTATCTGTTCACAGATGGACAAAATCAGGAACGAACAAAGCAAAAACAGCACTAGTCCAATCTGTGAAACCAGTAAATATGAAAACCTCCAGAAAGAATTCACATTTTAATGTATTCTAGGCTTTTAAAGAAAAAAGAAAACATCCTAAAGGTGCTTAGTCATGTTATGTATCTATACAAACAAATGGGACTGGGAATTAAACCACGATAAATAATGTCAGGCCTGATAGTGTTTAGATTCTCCTTTTTGAGCCTAAATTGAATTCCAGCACTGGGTGCTGTGGGTGGATAGAAACAGAGGTGTCGCCATCTGCTAGTAGAACCACAGAACTATCAGAAAGCCGGATGGAGACTATTAAAGCCGGGCATACAGTGTACAATTTTTTGCCCTTTTCAGGCCGACTTTCCAGTGGTGCGAGAATTCTTCGATAGGGCCGACTTCCAGTTTGACCGTGCGTAGTGCATCTTGTAATGTGCAGGAGGTAATGAGGGGCGACCAGCCTCTCATGACCATCTCCCGATCAGGAATCGTGAGGTCAGGAGAAAATCAAACATGTTTGAAATTTAGTCGGCCGTCATGGGCAAATCACTCAGTGGGCAAACAAGGATTCTTCTTCTTCTTCTTCCTCCTCTGAGATGAAAACGCAGAAGAATGGCGGGGGTGCGAGTGAAATGGAGTTCTTTCCGTAAAATTGACAGACCGTAGTAGCCACGTTTGCTCAGTCATGTCTTTGTCCAAATACGTCGTCACCTTTTCTTTTTAGGGCTTTCAGCCACAAAATTGCACAAATTTCCAAGGCAGCGCGTTTCTCTCTAGTGAGCTTCATATTCCTCTTCTACTGGTTTGGCTTCCGGGTAGATGTGTCAGAGTAGCGCCATCTCACTGCGGTGCTGAGTCCGACGTGGGTTTTAGACATGCTGTAAACTCACAGTGTCCGATGAAACCCTGCAGTTTCTTCTGACAGCGTAAGCTGTAGCTGCGTGCAACGATTGAATAGAGCCTAACCGTCCTGCAATGACTTGCTGAAAAGCTACAGCTCCACGTCGTTGAAGACAAGAGAAAAATTGAAATTAACTGATCTACAGCAACTCTATGTTCCAATCAATCCTCCGTAGAGCCTCATATCAGAAAACCAAGGAGAAAGACAATTCCTGACACAGCATAAAGGAAGGAAATATTTTAATTAAGCAAATTAATTTAAGTTATAGACTAAATCATTTTCACTAGGACGAATACAAATCAAACGTATCGTTGGTGAGCCTTCAATTCCATCTGATACTGTAGTGTCTCGTAAATTTGAGCATCTCTGACAGAAAATGACTTCCGTTGCCACATTTAATTAAATTCTGTTTTCTCATTTTTTTTTTTTTTTGGGGGGGGGGGGGGGGGGGGGGGGGGGGGGGGGGTCTTACACCACTAGTGCCTTTTTTTCTGAGAGTAGGGTGACAGGAAAGGGGGTATGAGAGAGTGGCAGAGACATGCGGCAAAAGACCACAAGGCGGATATGAACCCGGGTCAGCCACGTCGAAGACTCTGTACATGGGTCATGTGCGCTAGCAACTCAAAACCTAGAGACTAAGGTTAGCATTGCTATCAATAGCATCACTATTAATAAGGACGTTTGATCACACATCCATCAAATTAGAGACATCTGAGCGCCTCGGTAGCTTTAGCTTCCTCTGCAGCAAACACCAATGTTCAGGCCGTTTTCCCAGCTCTGCTAATCATTATACCTCCTGCAATCAAATATATTTTTCTTTTTTTCCCCCATACTGAAATTTAGACTTTTCTTCATTATTTCCACACTTCGCTAGGAGGTACTAACTGGCTTAGCCACCATAGGCTACTGTACTTTCTTGTTTACCCCATGTGCACATGTACAGTATCTTACCTTCTTTGCTATTGTAAATATAAACAAAAGGGCTTTATTTACAAACAAACTGAGCAAAAATAAAGAGTAAAACAGAAAATTAAATAAATAATACAACAGCAGGATATGGTAATCTTAAAGGCCAATTTATGCTTTCGACGCATAGCCTCTGCAACCGTCAAATCTGTCTTTGTGCTCAATGGGGTGCCACCTATAATGGCCTCAAAAAAATCCTGACTACGTGTCGGACGGTCGTAAACCAGCGCAGACCTCAAGAGGAAGTGCTCAGACAAAAAGCAGCTGTGATTGGTCCTTGGTATGCCTCTCTGGCTGTCTGTGTGGTCGTCCTTGTCAATTCGGTGCTGGGGCGCGCCATTTTTAAAACCAAGGAACAACAATGGATGACCACGACGAAAGGTTGATCGGTCTTTTTGCCAACTCCATTAACAGAACCTGTTCCTCTTCAATGTCTAGCAACTCTAGATCCATCTCTGTGACCGTGATATCTTGCAGATGCACCATTGTTGTTTTGGAATATAAACACTCCTGTCAGCGCTGGCGAAGTTCTCGCGAGTTCTGAAATTAGGCTCCCCCTTGTGCTTTGGCGGGAAACTGCTGTGCGTCCGTAGAAATTCCAGACCGACGGTGCAGAAGCATACCAGCAAAACCGGTTCGCAACCAGACCCAACATTTGATGTGTGCGGTTGCAGAAGTATAATCTGCTCTTTACTGGGATATAAAGTACAAAAATATAAATAACATGATTATGCACCTTTAAGGTTTATAGTTTTAACGTGTTTAGTATTATCTAAAACTTTTTAATAATAATAATAAAAGTAAAAGAGCATGGTTGATGATGAGGATTTGTTTGGGAAGAGAGATGAATTTTTTGCTTCAGTCTTCTTCATGCATTTAGAAAATGGGGGACTGGGCCATAAATGGAGGTAGAAGTCGCCTTAATCCACTGATACTCGGTCAGACGTGGTGGAAATCTGATCCAGGTTCTGGGATTAGAGCTCTAATCTACCTGAAGCTGTTGATGTAGATGAGAATGAAGGCATGTCTTTTTCTGGATCATCAGGAATGAAGACAGGAGTTGTTTTTTTTTATCTTTTGAGGATTTGGTTTCTTGTTTTGAGACCACACTGATCAGGTGGAGGATGGGGCAGACGGTTTGGGCTGATGGACAGTCATGCATCATGACGCTGATGCCAAATTTGTGCTTTTCCTCACAGCTGCTGGAAAAAGTAACAATCCAAAAGCTAAAAGACAGCAAGAGATTTTAGAGAATTAGAGAAATGGAAGTAAGGAAATTTAGAGAGACAGCAGCCCTGTGAGGAGAAGCCATGCCAAATCTGACACGCGTGACAGCATGCCCCTGCTTCCGAGCTCCACCGCTTCAGGCTTACTTAAGATAGATATCGGAGTAGTGCTGGACACGATAAGCGATCCGAATATCCCAGCAGACAGAGTGCTCGGGGCTGAGGTAGTACCAAGCTCACCGGGGGGGACCAGCTGGCACGCCGCCAGGTACTTCTTGTCCGACAGGATGCTGGCATAGAAGCGAATGATGATGCTGATGTCCTCGCGGAGACGCTTGTCCGCTTGGGTTGGAAACTTCGGAGCTGCGCTGTAAAGACAGAGAGACACTCCTTGATTAAATAACGATCGGGATCACAGCAAGTTACATGGCTTATTAAAATAACCAGAATACAGCAGCAATTTCCATTATTTTATTTCAAATACAAGTAATTTGGCTCACTTAAAATAAAGAGAAAAAATTGTTTATGAGATGTGTCATACGTTATATGTGACAGTCCACCTCGGGAAGATATTAGACATCTTTCATCTATATGAAGTGTGCTGCAGCTTGTGATATTGTAAACATTTCTGTAATTATTTTTCTATAAAAAAATCTAATTAAATTGTTTAGCATTTATACTAACATGAATTGCATATGCATAATAATATTGCAAAAAAGGGAAATATCCTGTCCAGGGGTGATGCTGAGAAACTAGTCCATGCATTTGTTACTTCAAGGCTGGACTATTGTAATTCTTTACTATCAGGAAGTCCACAAACTGTAGTTAAAAGCCTTCAGCTGATCCAAAATGCTGCAGCCAGAGTTCTGATGAAAATTAATGATCTCTCCTATCCTGGCTTCTCTTCATTGGCTTCCTGTTAAATCCAGAATAGAATTTAAAATCCTCCTTCTCACATATAAAGCCTTAAATGGCCAAGCTCCATCTGATATCAGAGATCTGATTGTTCCTTATGTTCCTAACAGAGCACTTTGCTCTCAATCTGCAGGTTTACTAGTGGTTCCTAGAATTTCTAAAAGTAGAATGGGAGGCAGATCTTTTAGTTATCAGGCTCCTCTACTGTGGAACCAACTACCAGTTTTGGCCGTAAGGGATGACACCCTGTCTATTTTTAAGGCTAGGATTAAAACTTTCCTTTTTGACAAAGCTTCTAGTTAGAGTGGCTCAGGTTATCCTGAGCTATCTCTATAGTTATGCTGTTATAGGCTTAGACTGATGGAGGACATAGGGACCCCTATTTCATCATTCTGCTTCATTCTATCTCTATTCTCCCACTTTGCAGAATCTGTTAGTTCAATCTCTAATGTTCTGCTCTCTCTGCTTTTCCTCAGAGTAGCTTCATCTGGTCTGTTCTTGTTTGGCTGTGACTCCATCCTGGAGAGAAATATCAGCTGTGCTGCTGCCATCAACACCCTTGTTTATAGATGCTGGAGATTGGCCTGTTTTCCAGTGTAGTCCGGTTTCTCTGACCATGACTGGCTGGATGTGCTCTCTTCATCCTCTGACATGGGAGCTGGCTCAGAGCTCGTCTGCCTGGCTGTGTGTTTCCTGGATGAAGCCGCCTTTTACAGTTGCTTTTTGTATCTCTGCTTCTGTCTCCTTGAATCCCAGTCGGCCTCAGCAGAAGGCCGCTCACTCTTAACCTGGTTCTGCTGGAGGTTTCCTCCTTATAAAAGGGAGTTTTTCCTCTCCACTGTCGCTACAAGCATGCTTAGTGTGAGGGATTGCATTCGAGTCAATGAGTCGATGCAATCAACTGGTTTTCCTTAGATAGAAAATCTTTGACTGGATGATCTGGTAAACTGTAAAGTGTAAATGAGATGACATGTGTTGATAAATGGTGGTATATAAGAAAAAATCTGAATTGAATTGAAATTGAATTGAATAGAAGCATTTCATGATATGAAGTATTGAAACTGTGGAAATGTTGGATAGCAGTGCTGTTGCTGGCTTTATTGTTTTGGAAGCCGAGAGAGCCACGAATTCTTCTTCCTGTTGAATTATTTGTTTGCAGTACTTTTTTTCTTTTTTAAAGAACATATAATTAAACATATTCATGCAAATGCAACTCTTGCATGTATTAATTTATGTTATAAAACTCATTTGAAAGTCAATGGAATGGAAGAGTAGATGAACAGCTGATTTTATTATTCAATGAAGCAGGGTGGACCATCCAGCATCCAGCAGCCTGAACTATAGATGATAAAGATGAGATGATATAAGAGCCAGAAAGGAAATAAAATTAAATAATTTTTTTCCCTATTCGTTTGTTTTTTAATATATATTGAATTTAGTATGGTATTGAAAAATAACTGTTCTCCATTTCTCTATGTTATGTAACAAAATTTATGGGGAAAAAAACAGTTCTTTCTTGTAGATTCATTGTGCTGCTGCTTAGATTTTCTTGGGCGCAGAGAATGTGCAGCTTAGGGAGAACATTGGATCAGGGGATAAAATAATCACCATGAAACTTTCGATTGATTAAACGTCAATGACTGGGACGATTATTGTGGGACCAATACCAGTATGGGGTGGGGCCCCGATCTAGCACTAAAATGGTGGCATCGGTATCAGCGAGTACCAACAAATAGGGCACTGATACCATTTTGAGAGCCAAAAGTTTATTCAACTATTGTCACCCATTCCAGGTTGGCAATAAAAAGTTCTACTGGATTCACTTTTTTCCTGCTTCACAAAGGTAGACAGCAGCTTGACAAAGCCATGATGGCAATTATTTTACATCCAAGTAGTATGCAGTTCTTCATATATACAGACACACATCAATTTGAAACAGATGGTACCGGTATCGTCCAATACTGCACAGCCAGGTATTGGGTATTGGGGCCAAAAAACGACATCAGTGCAACACTAGGGACGATACCGCATCAAACGGTTAATGTTTACCTGAAGTAATCGAAGGCTGTTGAATAGATCTTCTCCCTGAGGACGTTTCTGACGGTGGAGTTGGTGAGAACGTCAGAATGCAGCAGAGCCAGACCTAAAGTCAGCAGCCTAACGCACAAAGAAACACAGCTTAGAAACAACTAGAAATATTGAAATATTTTCTAGAGCTTTTTTGTTTATAACTCTTCGTGCTATTTTGTTGTGCTAAAATTATCAGCATTAAAATGTTTTTAATGATGATTTTATGCAATATACCAGAACAATATTAGTAGAGACAAAAATAAAAAGAGTAATTGTTTTTTATCTCTGCTCTGATTACCTTGAAGAACCATTAACTAAAGAAGGTTTTTGTTTTTTTGTCATTTTTAGGGGTAGCTATACCAGCTTTTTGTATTTTTAGCTGGAAATACAATTCTGTCATTGTTAAAAGTATTGGGGACAGATTCTCTGTTACATTCTAAATGAATGAGATCTGATGTAAACCACTGCATCGCTGCTCTGAATATCAGGACGGACGTCACGCTGAACCTCCAATCTGGTCTGAAGTCTGTCGCCTGAGATGAGTTTAATTCTGCTATTTTCATCTTTAGAGACTCATCCATTCTCATTTGACACATTTTGTAAACATGAAGACGAAACCTTAATCTGAAACAATTCACATTCTCACAACTTGGTGGCGTGTAGTGTGATATTTTAACTGTTTAAACTTGTGTGGTTTTTTTTAGCAAGGGATCTGCAACCTTAACAATCCAAACAGCCATTTTTGGCATTTAGTCCAGTTAAATCGGACCCGTTTAGAGCTACACACATTAAACAAGCTCCTTAAACATTAAAGCTTGTATTTATTGATAAATATTTAATATAGGTAGTTTATTCTCAAAGAGCAATCACTTTATTTCTATTTAATGTTCAATAAAAGAGAAACTAAACTTTTACAAAAGATGGATTGAAACATTTTCTAAATTTGTTGTTGATATTTTTGAACAATGATTTAAAAAAAAACAACAACTGTTCCTAACCTGATGATGAGAAAAAAATACATCTAAATAAATCCTAAAATTTCTTTTAATGTTAATCTTTCCAATGACGGCTTGCCAATAGAGGGTGCTAGGGAGCCGCCCCACCCTACCCAATTAATATATTGGGTAGGCTGATTAATATATAAAAAATATATATACTTTATTTATAATTTAATTAATATTTGAAATATTTGGAAATATCTTAATAAGTATTTCTTGGATGTGCAAAATAAATATTTAATCTTCAATGACTGGTAAAGCGTCATTCCATTTATCGTCGGATTAGTGACGTATTTCCGCCCTAGGGCACAAAAATCTTTGCCCATTGACTCTTGTTAAAAGTTGTCCATGCGCGGTAGCTCCTCTGTAATACAGAAGTATATGAGAGCTAGCTCTGGAGCGCCCTGATCTGGCAGGAAGTGTATTTGCGCACCACCTCCCGCCACAGCTCAGATGTTTTTGCGGGTGATTGACAGGTCGAGTCGTGGGGGCTGGAGACACATTGGAGAGAGAGAGAGAGAAATGGTGCAAGAAACGTCCTTTTCCAGGACCGTTTAGCTACAAGGCTTGGCTAACTGCATGCAGCGAGGCTAAAGCTTTATTCTGCTCTCCCTGCCTCCTTTTTCAAATGTCAGGATCTGACCCAGCATGGATAAAGACAGATAGGACTAATTTAAAGCACTTTATAGAAAAGGCAAAGAAGAATGAACTATCTGAGATTCACATGGAAAATAATATAATATAGTACACTTTTTCTAGGTGTTTGTTAATTTTTATAGTTGCTCCTAAATAAACACATTCTCAGAAAATAGGTTTTATATATTAGAAAAACATAAAGCTGACTAATAGCCTCCCCATTATTAAACTGGTACATTTTTTATTTTTTTTAGGCTGAACAATATTGGACCATGCAAAACACAAATTAACTTCACAAAGCCACAGAAGGGCTAGATTTATGTACAAAAAGTAAACCTCTACATGAAATTATGTTTGGTTTTTTCAATGTTGTTGGCATTCATATAAATATACTGGTGTGATAACTCAGTATACATTTGATCGGTTTTTGGTAAACGTCCATTTTAAATTTATAGACCCCCCCCGGAGAAAACTCCACCAGTCGTCACTATTTTTTCCCACAAAATTATTCCGCGAAAGATAAATTTATTTGTAAAACTATTAGTTTAGATTTTTGTAAATTTGAGCCATCATTTTTTAGAGCTATTGTGGACGGTGAAAAGAGCAACCTGTGGCTCTGGAGCTGAAGGTTTCAGGGCTCTGCTTTAGCACAACCTCTACATGGAACTGAAGGAAATAATATGCACTGGATTTTATTAGAGGATAATATAGCAAAGGAAAATAAGGATTACAATTTGCAAAACCTTTGAAAACTTTAAATCTCTTTCTTTCCAATTCACTATTTTGTGACATTTTGTGTTGACTGGTTAAATATAATCCCAGTAAAATAGAACAATGTTTCCTGTTGCTCTGGTGTGACTAAATGAGTGTAAAGTTCCACCGGTACTAATGCATTTAATACGGAGTGCAATTTCTTCCATTATTAGTGAAAACAAAGAACATGTTTTGTAAATAGACATTTTAAAGATTAAGAAATAAAATGTCTTAATCTTTACAGCTTTTGAAGAGTAAAAAGTGTTTAAGGTTTTAAAATTAACTTTGCTGTCTTGGATTTTTTTCTTTTTAAAACATTTTGCTCAATATTTAATTTTTTCAAAGTAGTTTTTCTAAAAGTGTTTTAAAGATTTTACTTTTAAAATTTTATTTTCCACTTTCTATTTGCCAGATTGAGTTTTATGAAGTGTATTCTTTTCAATCTGATTTCCCTCCTCACTCCAAAGGATCTTATTTGGAAAACGCAAATAGTCTGAAAAACAGGAATTTGTAAAATAAATTAGAATATGAAATCTGTTAAAAGAAAAAGTGATATATATAAAAAGAACTTGGGGAAAAAAAGTATAAAAAATAAAAATTAAATAAAAAATGTTTGATTCTTTTTTTGAGAAATGAGCAAAGTCACTGCCAAAGTTTCATTTCTGGATTGCTTTTTTTCCTAATCTGTTTACAAAACAAAACATGCTCTTTGCTTGCAATAATAATGGAAGAAACTTCTTTCCATATTTTAAGTGGAAAGGCCCTGAAGTTTTGGAATACCTGAAACGTGGTCCGATGGCGGCAACGTGGCGGTTCAGGCCGCCGCTCTTGGATCCACCGACATCCAAGGACAGGGAGCGCTGCAGCAGGCTGCCAAAAATCTCCACCTGATCGGCGCTACAATACTTTGCTATTTCAAACCTCTGGATGAGAAACTGGGAAACAAGGAGAGAAGCTAAAGATGTTAAGGCAACATACTGATAACAGTGATATCGTCCTCTCCCAACAGAGACGCTCTCTGACCTCGATCCAGATGTGGTGAGGGGTGACATCTGGAGGGCAGGGGACAGGCTGGCTTTCCTCTGAAGCAGCAAGAGGGTCAGCCTCCACCTGAGCATCAGAGAACAGGCCCATCTTCAGCTCAACCGTCATCTGCCAGGCGCCTGCCATCTCCCGCATGAACTAGAGAAAAGAAAAAAACATTAATGTCCAAAAAACAAGGGACACAAGAACAGGTCAAACACTTCCCACAACGTACCGGCACTTCCACTCCCGTACGCGCCGCCAGCAGCCACTCCCAGCATGCAATGGCAGTCTCCATGCCGTGCTCTGTAAACATCTTAAGGGGCGACCAGCAGAGGTGGTGCAGGAGCTGAGGGTCGCATTCTGTACACGAAATACGACGGGAGCAAAATCATGTCATGTGAAAAAGCAGAAGATAAAGAAATCCAGTGAAGTCCAACCTTTGCTGCTGATGAGCAAAGCAGCCAGTTTAAACATGGCCTCAGTGAAGGCCTCAGGCTGAGCCGAGTCCAAAGCCTCTCCCATCTGTTTGATCATCAGCCGAGTCAGATCAGACTGTCCTCTGACTGCCTGAGCAAAGTGGATCATACCTGCAACCTGCAGGAAAAAAAGAGATAAATAAAAGCTTTAGAAATTTACTTTGCTGTTTTCACAGATTGTATGTTTTTTTTTCCTTTTTTTTAGGTTGAGTTTTATGAATTTTTATTGGTCTGCAAGATGTTAGCAAGAACATTTTTATTGATCAAGAATGAGCATTCGTTATGGGCTCGAAGTTAAGAGAATGCGACATGGAAAACACAATAAGAAAAAATTTTAAAAAATCTAAAAGAGAGAAATTTATAAAAAAAAAAAAAATCAAATAAAATCAGTACAAAAAAGGTGAAAAAATTGATTACAGAAAAAAGGAAATCAGAGAAGTCAGGGCTGGGTATTTTCACCAAAGTCCTGAATCGATTCAGTTTTGATTCATACAGTTCTATATCGATTACTTTCGATTCGATCTGATTATAAACAATGAAAGTGGTTCAACTGTGTTTACAAATACTCATGTAATTTATTTTTTCCCGTCATATTAAACACAAAGTCCAAACTTGTAAATCGGATAGTTTAAATTTGAGATGTGAACAAAACTGTGTCAAAAGTGCAAACTTGTTTGTGAAAAGTGAAAAGGCCTCACAACTGCAACAAATATTGTTTCACAATGATTTTCTCTTTAAAGTGAAATATTTCACTTTCACATACATCCTTGATTCAGTGAATGAAAACAATCATCGAAAGATTTAACGGTAAAAAGAAAAACATGGCCTTGAAAGCACTGGTAGTTCTAGTGGTTCTACCTCTCCAGCGTATCTGTTCCGGAGGTTCAGGGATGCCATGAAGTTGGAGTAATCTTTCTTCACACAGGCTGGCCTCTCAGTCAGCTGGGTGGACTAAAGGGAAGAGTGAGAACTTAGATTTAGACAACCTTTATTTTCATTTTGTATACACAGTGTACGATAAAAAAATATATCGTTTTGTACGGCTTTCAGATAGTAAATGAGCAGCAGCTTAGCAGTGAAATGAACATTTCTATTCTATAAAGTGCAGCAGTGATCAAAAGAACATCTGTTAACTCTGCATCTGCAACCATTTAAATTTCCGTTCACAGTTTTAATGTGGAACAGAAAAAAAAAAACTAAGTCTATTTGATTAGATATAAATGATCCAGCTTTTAAAAAGTTAAATTAGTAAATAAGTACATGGAGTATAAGTTTTAGTCTTACCCCCAAAGTGGTGCTTTGTCTGTTGTAGCCAGCAAAGTGCAAGATGCTTTCTGTCGCCATGGCCAGACCCGTGTGTTGAGAGAGACCTGAGACCCAGTTCTGATGTTTGTTGAGGTACTCCTGACGCCAGACGAAAAAACAACAGTTAAAAACGTGTTTCAATGAGTCCCTCATCCAGGCTTAACATTACAAATTCATGTCTTCATATATGGACATGAAGTATTTAAAAAGATGCAAAATATACAAATATATTATATAACTATTGGTTCTCTAAAATAGAGGTATTATGAAAGAATAAACTTATTACACCTGCTTTTAGTTTTTATTTTAATAAATGTTTTGTCTTTTTTTAAACATAGAGCTGCTTTGAACTCCTATACTCCATAGAGGAGACAATATGCAATGAGAAATATTACCTGAAGGTGGGATTTGGTTACAGATGGAGCCCACTTCATGGCCTCCTTCAGGATTTCTCCACACCTCGCAGCAAAATCTTTCACGATGCTCTAAAGGAGGGGTAATCAATTGAAAATCAGCGGGGTCCGAATAAAGAAAATCATCAACCAGTAAACAGGGTTCCTACAGCATAATGCAAGTTAAATTCACGACTTTTTAAGACTTTCTAATGCCACTTGAAATAAAAATTTAAGACCAAATTCACAAGAAACACAAGAAAAACCCGCTTGTGACAACTTAACCCAAAGGTTTATTTTAATATAAACCACTGCACTAATGTTTCAAATTTTGAAAAGCTTCCCATACAGGAAGAAAGCTAAAAACACACAAATGACAGATATATTTTCACAATTATTTAACTGAATTCACAAACTTTGCTTTAGCAGGGAACAAAACAAATCAGTGTTAAAGCCACAAAATGACCAGTGCTAAGTCTTTTTTGCAGCTATTTTTCTTTGTATGGTTTTCTTAGTATGTTTGATTTGGTGATAAGTGAAGCCGTTGCAGAGACAAGGGTGGAACAAAACTGAGAAATACCGGCTGTTTCTCGGTAACTCGATTTTGACGCTTTGTGTTTCTTGCTTCGCATGTGCGACTCCACTGCCTTAATTCCCATCATTCTGAGCTTGAATGACTTCTTGCACAAAATACACTGTGCTTCATGTATGTTCCCTGGTTTTAGGCATGAAGAAAACTCTTGGCTGGATAGACAATTTTCATCATACTTACACTTCCTCATATTTTCCAGACAAAAAGTTAATGGTGCATCTCACAAATGTCCCGGCCGCAACAACACTTTTATTGGTTCCGCTATCGGGACGGAACCAACAATGGCGAGCCTTTTTTTTTTTTTATAAAAAGAAAAAAAAAGGTAAATTTTAACGTTTTATTTAGATTACAAAAAGAAATCGTAATAAAAAATAATCCTATTTATGATGTTTTGAAAATTAAGACCAACGAAAGACTAATTTAAGACATTTTAATACCAATTAAGGCCTTAATTTTATTTTGAAGAATTCAATGCCTTTTAAGACTTTTTAAAGACCCGCGGGAACCCTGAGTAAAGGTTTGGAGACATTTTTCATTCTAATCTGTTACTTTAAACAGAATTTAACACTAAAATAAAATGAGTTTTTTTGCATCCATGTTATACATTGACTTTTTTAATAAATAAATAAATGTTAATTTATAAATCTAAAGAGTTTTTTGAAGTAGAGAATACTTCAAACTTCAATGTTTAGGTTGAAGACTTACTTGGATATAACCTAACCGGATATCTTCAGAACAGCTCCAAATGACACAAAACTCATGGGTGAGTAGAACATGATGAAATAACATAAAATCAAGGGCCCAATGTAAAAAAAAAAAAAAAAACGGAATTCCCCTTTAAGTGCATTTTTGAGGCCACTTTTTTTTTTTCCCCCCTTTTGGACAACTAAGGAGCCTACAAATCATTATCTTAGAGAGGAAAACACGATGGACAAGTTAAATAAGTGACTGTTGCTGTGTGAATCAAATGCCGTTATTTAAGATAAAACATTTCAGATTCTGTTATTTATTTTGAGGGTAAACATGCTGTGACTGCAGCGCTGAGAGGATGGGGTTGGGACGGGGGGAGGCGCCCCACGGCAGCACCTGCCGCTGCAGGACAAGAGTAGGAACGATACGTGCTTTCACACGTCAAGAGTCTCCTAAAGCCGCCAGTGACACCAGAAAAGTCGCTAGATTTGTCGCTAGTCGCTTTTTTGAAAAAGAGTCGCTGGAGGGGTATGATAAGTCGCTAAATATAGCGACAAAGTCGCTGAGTTGGCAACACCGCATGTGCGAACCAGGCAGCCGAGGCAGCATTTTTATAAAAGAGGGCGGGATGCGCACTTAAAAAAAATATATAAACAATTTTGGCGCTGGGTTACAGGCGGTAAGAAAGTACAGCTGTGGAATGGTCTGGTAAACTGAAAGATCTTTTTGTTGTTGTTTTCTCTCTCTGTGTGTCTATATAAGACTGTGGCGGGCCCAAACAAGACTGTGGTGGGCCGCCACATTATCGTTCATTAATGGGAAACACTGAACTTAGTGCTAGTAGGTTTCCAATGGGAAATTCCATTGGGACCAAGTAGCACTAAATTGGTCACTTAGCAACGACACTGTCAAGGAACGCTATGGACAGAGGAAACATGCAAGAGGAGAGATTTGTGTTGGAGGTCGTGGATGAGTCTCCTCCATCATACATTTTTTATTTAGAGGAGGAAAGCGTGGATGAAGATGTTGTGGAAGAGGACGCCAGGGCGGCAGAAGCTTGGTTTGGTGTAGAAGGCTTACATCCCTACATGTTTGAGCCCTTGCCTCGCAACGCTGCCAGTTCTGTTAGCTCTACGCCTGCCGAAGACACAGATGTCCATCCCCGTGAACACTGGGATGGAACTCAATGGGAAAGGAAATGATTCTTATTTCAACCGTTGCGTTTATTAGCTGCAACATATGAATTAAGATGCTATGACCGAAAAAAATTGATGGACAGATGACCGTTGATATATGATTGGTGGAATTTAGGTGTTCAGACTGACATATAACTAACTGGCCTGCATAAGATAACGGAAAAAAAACAGATTTTAATTTTAATCTAAGAAAGTATTTTTTTTTTTTATAGAAATCTTTTAACTTTTGGGATAATATGGACTGATAAAGAGTACATTTATATACATGTTTAAGCCAGAATGATTTAAAATTTAAATATTATTTCCCTACTAGGGCTGGACGATATAGAAAAAAAGCTTATCGATAAAAAAAATGCATATTGATCGATATCGATAATTATTGAAAAGATTTGAAACCATATTTTATGTGCAGCTCTGCCTGGACATTTTATGATATTGCTAAATGATTTAATTTTAATAAAGAACACAAACACAGACTTCCAATTAAATCTTTATTTAACCAACTTTTTTAAAGAAAACTTGTTTTAAAGAAAAATAACTTGACCTGAGTTATGTTATTAAATACTGAAAAAGAATACACTAAGGTGACCAGAAAAGTGACCAAAATAAATATAACAAATAAATAAATGGGTCCGCGATTGTGACTAGCATAAACCTACATGCTAGGCTACAATGAGAAGGAAGGAAAACTGTGTTTTTTTTTTTAATCGAACTTTTATCGACCCTCTTTTTTTCTATTGCGCCACACGTCTATCGATCGATATATATCGTTATTGAATTATCGCCCAGCCCTATTCCCTACGACTTTAAACCTGGTTTGAATGGAGACAAAGCCATTCTAAAGCACATATCAAGGAGCTCATTTTGAGCCTGGATCCATATTTATTTTTGATTCTGTTCATGGTGCAGAATCCTGCTTCACAGCAGCAGGTTGAGCCAAACATACTATAAATGTTCAGGGTCATCTATGAGCACCATTTCACTTTTCTGTCACCAGTTCACCACAGTTCTTCCAGCAGTCCACACTTTCTCTGCTCTCTTTTTCTCATCATCTTCTCCTTCTTTCCCATCGCCCGGCTTGCCACAGGTTTGCCTGCTGTGTCTAAAAGTAGCAGCAGCAGCAACCCAGACTGACGGCAGCTCATTGGATCATTTGGATCACGTGCAGCCTGGTGCTGGACGCTCTGGAGGGCTTTACCGTATTAACAGGAGAAGCGGCTCAAGTGAAATTAGACACTGTCGTCAGAGAACATGTAGTAATTTATAAATGTTTTAAATCAGGTTGGGTCCGGATTAGCCAGCAAGTGGGTTTGGATCCTGACCCTGGTCCGCTAATCCGTGACCTCTGCTCTAAAGGTTACAGTAAGAAAGCGAAAATGATATAATATGTTCATAATCGGCTTTCTGGGCATTTAATTCACATGCAGCTGATAAAATGCAGGATTTGACGGAGGGATTTCTGAATAAGTAAACCAAAGTTACCTCTCTGGCCTCATATGTATCCGGGGCGGTGATTCTGTAAGGCGTGTCCGGGATGTCATAATAGGGCTGGTCTTTATGAATGTCCTGCAACATAACAGTGAATAAAGTCATGGTAAAGATAATAAGCTGACAGACAATCACTTCTTTGATACACCATATAACCGTCGCTCACCGCACTGAGGGACAGGGACAGCGTCTGCAAAATGTCCAACATGGTCTTCAGCACCCGGCCGCTCCACAGCAGGTGGGGGAAGCTGAGGAGGGAGATGTTTGTTTATTTATAAAGCCAAAAGTTTGAGGGGAACGACGGATGGCTTGACGCTCTCTTACGTTTCAGCGAGACCAGACAGATATTTGTCAGCCACTCTGCGGATCCGCTTGTGGATGTGGTTGAAGTTGACCAGGAGAAACTGGGCATGGCGCTCCAGCTCCTCCTCATGAGCTTTAGTTTTTGGCTGTAAATGAAACCGCTTATTGATTAAACACGGGGAGGATTGCTTCCTCTATAAATGCATTTCAGGCCCTTTTTAAAGGACAACTCACCCCAAAAATCAACTTAATTTTCCGACTAAACTTTGTATATTGATGCTTTATAGGGCTATCCACATGCCCTGAGGTTTATCCTGCTTTAGGATCTAAAAATGTGTTTGGCGCCCTCCTCAGGTTTAATCGGTGCTACTGCATCAGATTGTATCTCAGTATGACTGTTGGCTTCCTTGTTATTTTTACGTCACCCAGAAAAACTGAGGTCAGTAAATCAACCCTGGTCATCTGCTCTCTGTGACTGTGGTTTCGCTCTCGGTTAATTTCCAACCCAAACACTTGAGAAACCAAAATAAATAACTTCTATATGAAGTGAATTTGGTTCCATTATTGTTGTAAGCAAATAAAAAGAAAGTTTTGTAAATGGAAAATTTAAAAATGTTTAACAAAAAAAGGTAATTTAGTTATTTTCAGGTTTCCTTTCAAAATGTGTTTTTTCTTTTTACAGATTAAACACTTTTAATTTTAAGGTTTAGTTCTACTTATGGCGTTCATTTCAAATTGTGTTCACTTCTGGGGGCGGGCTTTATTTTGGATTGAGGAATATAGACGAATTTCTATTGGTCTGCTGGACGTTAGCAACAACATAGAACTACAACTGAAGTGAATACATTCAAGAGAAATAAAAAAAGAAGAAATATAAAATCTGACACCTGACAAAACATTTGGAAAAAATATGATTTTAAAGAAATAAAGAATGAAAAAATCTTGCAAAAACAAAATCTAGGAAAACATCCAAGTTACTCTCTTTTTTAATATGAAATTTATCAGAGATTTATTTATGGATTGCCTTTTTATTTTTACTTCCATCATGTTCTTTGTTTGCTGCAATAACGGAAAAATAATTACTCCATACTTTAACACTGGAAAAACGATCTAGAAATAAGTAACAATTTCTTAAATGAAGTGTATTTACCCTTAACTGAGTACGTAAATGAGATATATTTTTACTCTTAAAATAAGATTATTGGATAATATGCACTTGAAATAAGACAATGCAATTGTGTTTTCTTATTTTAAAAGTAAATTGTCTTGTTCCATTGGCAAAATGTCTCTTTTACCTCCTCAATCCAAGAATAAATGCACTTATTTTAAGAAGAAATGACTTATCTAGATTTAGATTTTTTCCATTGCATCTCTTGTGATTTGGTGACACAAGTAATGCCAAATGATTATATTAGACTAGAAATATGAGGCACACCCCTTTTTTGAAATTTTTATGCATTTTTTTATGCAATGTGACATTCGTTTTGCGTCAGTCTGTCAAATGACTTTCAAGATAAAAAAAACATATCATTCCTTTTTATTAGGAAAAAAACATAAAACAAATTTAAAATGTATTAAATTTGGACAGAAAGACAAAACTGTCTTTCCAGACAACATAAAGATTTGACATAAATTTTGCAGATATAATGTCACTAAATCCTCGAAGCACAAAAGAGCAATATCCATGCTTAAACTAACTTTACCGCATTTTAGGAATTTCCATTGGGTAATAACCACAAATACTTGGCAGCAACATTATCAGAATTACTTTTATTGCTATTGTTCAAAAAAGCTAAACTAAATAAAAAAACACAACTCTTCAGGTTAGTGCAAATATTAAAAAGACAAGTATATAACACAGAAAGGAAAAAGAAATGAATAAATTAGCGTCAAGCATTAAAAATAATTATTCAATAAAAAGATTCAATAATCATGATAAAGTGTTTTCCAGTAAAAGGCCAGAAGCCAATTCAATGCCATGTTCAAAAACAAACATGAATGATTAAGCGCTTATGGGAAGCATGTGTACGGCCAATTGATTATATTAAGAAATGCAATTCTTCACTGTCCAAATGTTAATCTAAATAAGTAATTATTTCGTAAAATTGGTGCATTTTTTTCTTAAATTGAGGAGTTAAGCTAGATATTTTGCCAATGGAACAAGACAATTTACATTTAAAATAAGAAAAACAAGCATTGTCTTATTTTACATGCATATTATCTAATTATGTTATTTTAAGACTAAAATACTCATGCCATTGGCAGATCATCTAATTTACCTACTCAAATTAAGGGTAAATACACTTAATTTAAGAAATGTTTATATATTTCTAGATCGATTTTGCAGTGTTCCTGCTGATGCTAAAAATGATCAGATCATAATAATCAGAACAGGTTTTAGCAAAACAAAGATTTCTAAAGCTGAGCGTTAACATGGTAAAAAAAAAATTATATTTTTGGATTAGACTACAAACAGAAATATGTTTATTCCTAATGTGTTCTATATGATTGTTTAATTTATCAAGTACTCTGGCATGAAATGGAACATGAAAAAAAAAAAAAATGGAAAATTCCCATCCGACAACATTAAAAGGTGAAAACGTACTTTTTCAGCCATCATCTGAAGGAAAACCTCAAACACTTTGTCGCTCACAGCAATCACACACTGCATCATACCTGTAAATAAAACACAGATTTAAAACATGAGGGATGTTTTTTTTTGTCTTTCAGGAACCGGTTTCCATTTTCTGACGGCCTCACCAGACTTATCCTTCTGAATGGCTCGGTCCTCAAAGTAACGAAACATGACCTGAAAGCGGTCCGAGTCCAGAGAGTGCAGCATCCTGGCACAGATGAAACAGACGAGATGAGGTGAGGTCACGTTTCTCAGGTTAAAGGAGAAGTTCGGTTTTTTACACTTTAAGCCCATTTTCTGTAGTGTCCAGGATGAAATCGAATGATCGACACCAAAAGTTTGACAATTGCTCCTGTCTCTGCTTTTTGGCTCATTTAGAATCACCCCCTGGCTGCTTTAGAATGGCTAGCATAGAGCATGTCCGATAATGTCCTTAAAACAACCTTAAACGTTCTTTTTTTAAAATATGCTACTCACCGGGTCGTCAGCGCTGTTCAATGACGTTCCAAAAAAAGTTTCGTAAAGAAAAAACGTTCCTGTAGTGTTTTATTTAGCATTTTGTAAATCCCATTGAGTTCTGTAGGAATAGTCAATATTCCGCTGCCACCGGAAACGGAAATGGGGCCTGTTTACACAGTTGTAGTCTTTTCGCTTCACTCTGTGTACTCCGACGTCGAGGTGCTAACGTCTCTGTTAAACACTTTAAAAAACTCTGAAAATGGAATACGAAAGGTGGATTCTTGATTCTCGACGTCGGAGTACACAGAGTGAAGCGAAAAGACTACAACTGTGTAAACAGGCCCCATTTCCGTTTCCGGTGGCAGCGGAATATTGACTATTTCTACAGAACTCAATGGGATTTACAAAATGCTAAATAAAACACTACAGGAACGTTTTTTCTTCACAAAACTTTTTTTGGAACGTCATTGAACAGCGCTGACGACCCGGTGAGTAGCATATTTAAAAAAAAGAACGTTTAAGGTTGTTTTAAGGACATTATCGGACATGCACAATGGAAGCCATTCTAAAGCAGCCAGGGGTGGATTCTAAATGAGCCAAAAAGCAGAGACAGGAGCAATTGTCAAACTTTTGGTGTCGATCATTCGATTTCATCCTGGACACTACAGAAAATGGGCTTAAAGTGTAAAAAACCGAACTTCTCCTTTAAAGGGCAAACAGAGACAGATCAGACCTGCGTTTGTTACCTCATGTACTCCAGCCGGTAAACGGACAGCAGGTAGGTGGACATGGCAAAGTCCAGCTTGTTGATGAGAGCAGACACCTCTGGAGGAGGGTCCAGCAGGTTGATGATGGTGCTGCGGAGGTCATTCAGCTCCGCCTGGAACAGAGCAGCTAAAGTCAGACAGGTCTGATGTCTGTGTGTATGTGGGGGGTGGTCTTTATTTACCTACAATGTGGAGGAATTATTTTGTAAAATATGCTACACACGAGAACTTAAGGGCTGGTTATACTCCTGCAACAGTGTGTCGCAGTTAGTTTGTTGCAGATATGAAGAACTTATTTTGGATTTATGCCCAATATTGAAGCGTGGTCTGCGCTATGTTATTTCTTGCCACCACATTAAGGCGAAAAAGATCGGGGATCCAGGTGGAAAAAGGGTCCCAGCGTTCTTGCGCACCTCGCTCTTCTAGCTAGTCCATCTTCACCTACAATTTGCGGTCACCTACAATTTTGGGGAGGTGCAGCAGAGTGTCTGCGGAAGGGGGGGCGGTGGCATATCTGCGTTATCTGTGACACACACACAGACGACCTGGTTTCTGAGCACAAACCAGCCTTTACAGATATTCATGTGGACACTCATCCCCATATGGTAAACTCTGTTCCCCGAGTTTGGGTTAGGTGCAGGACTAAGGAGGAATTCCCTTTAGGTTAGGTTTTCATGGCCTACTCTATAAAAGGCTGGAACTCAACGCTATTCCAGACATTTTGAATTGAAAAAGCTTCCTGGATGGGAAGTGAAACGTCTGCAAACTTGTTTTTTTAAGTTTTTTGGAATGACTATGACCTAGATGACTGAGAATCTACACCAGCGTGAGGTTACGGTTAGGTATACGGTATGTTGGTAATAGTTAGGGTTAGGATCTGGATTAGGCTCTATAAAATTAATGCAGGTCAAAGAAATGTCCCCATACGTCCTGAAAACAAAGCTTTGTGTGTGTGAGTAGCTGTCTAGCCTTCAGAGTGAGGACCATTTTTCCAATTTCACCATCAAATTGAGGACCAGTTGTTGCAAAGTGAGGACATATTGCTGGTCCTCATGCTATTTTTCTAACAGCTAGTTTTAGGGCTAAGGTGTCAATTGGGTTAGGTTTAGGGTGAGGTATGCATTGGTAATGGTTTGGTTTGGGGTTAGGGCACAGAAAGGATTGAAAATGACTGCAAATCAATGGAACACATGGTCCTCACTATAAATAGCAGAACGAGTATAGGTTTGTGGGTGTGTGTGTCATACTGGAGTGACGGTGTCGTTCTTCAGTGCAGAGTTATACTGCAGCTCAGAGCGTAAAGGTTCTCCACTAGGAAACGTCAGCAGCGGCGATTTGGTGGCAATCTCACAAACTCCTTCGTACCACTCCTCTGGCCACAGACCTGATGGGTTCAACATGGATCAAAGGAAACATTACTGAAAAAACTAGAGACCATACATTTATATAGTGTGGGCTTTATTTTATAAAGGTTATTTTGTGCCTTGTAAGTGGGAATTTGAAGTTGTAGCGAGAGTTAGATTCTAAATTTTGTATTTGTAGAATAAAAAAAATTCGCAAGTACACTTTTTATTTTTTTTTTTACAAATGTTAAGTATTACACAAATTCTGTTGTACAAGTTGCACATCAAAAACCTCTTACATTCTCAGTTTTCCTTTAAATGGTTCAAAGCTATTGTTGCAAAACTATTTCATTGCAACTTTGGTGTTTTGTAGTTGTAGGTTTTTTAATCTGTCACAATTACAAAAAAGTTACACCTGTTCAAATTCTTGAGTACAAATACACAAATTGTGTTCTGTGAGTTACACATAAAAAAATTCTTCCATTTTAATTTTGCTACAGTTGATCTAAAACAAATGGTGCAACACAAATTCAAACACGTGCATTAAAATCTTCACAAAAAAAAAAAAAGAATTCTATATTTTTCCTTACAAATCAGCGAATACAACTGCACAAATCTGCTGCTGTGAGTCACAAATTCGACATTACAAGTTAGGCCTTCATTTTCACTTTTGACACAAATGTCACACTGGTAAAAAATAATCTGTGACTTGTGGGTAGTAGCCTTGATCGGACAGCAGGGGGCGCTGCATGATCGGTCAGTCTGTACCAACTGGAAATACATATATGGCCCACTGCCACGTTGCCTTCCAAGGACCCAGCCGACGTGCATTGTAATTTACATTTACAATGCACCAATAGTTTTGAAACAAAATAACCTTCATATGATTTCTTCAAAGACGGCGAATTAAGGGGCACTAAATGCTACGTCCGAACTGGTTTGGTTCCGCCCAATTAAAACTAGCAAATTCAGTGTGAAACTGGTATTCTCAGAGAGGCTGTCAGGGAAATATAAAAATCAGTCTTCGAGGTGGAGGTAACATTGACCATAATTATTTTTAAGGTAAAAAAAAAAAATAATAAATATTATTCATGATGCTTCCAATAGGTAGCATATCCCAAAAATGCTTTGAAGAAATTATAAAGATAAAATGTAGAATATAACAAAGTTAAACAGAGAGAAGAGGGAGCCTCAGTCAGATCAGCAGCTGTAAACAGCTGGATTTACTTCCACCAACATCTCACAGCCGCCGCTTAATCCACTCTAAAACAAGGCAGCAACAACCTGGTTTCTGAGCAGAAATCAGCCTTAATACTAAACAGTGTTGCCCTCTATTCGCTGGTGGTAACATCACAACACTGAAAGAAATTCCTTTAAACCTCAATGGTTTATATGGTGTGACTTTTGTTCCATTATTGTAAGCTTCTTTGTAAGCAAAGAAAAAGAAAGTTTTGTAAACGAAAATTTGAAAAACTGTTTTATAAAAAAGGGTAATTTAGGTATTTTCACGTTTCATTTTAAAAATGTGTTTTTTTGTTTTGTTTTTTTTTTATAGATTTGACATTTTTTAATTTCAAATCTGGATTAGTATTACCAATTGCCTTTATTTTTAATTGTGTTGACTTCTGTTGGCGGACTTTCCTCTTGATTGAGGAGAAAAGACAAATAAAAAAAAAAAATTATATATATATATATATATATATATATATATATATATATATATTTATTAGGGGTGGAACGGTTCACAAAATCCACAATTCGATACATGTTGATTGTTACACCGAAATTTTCATAAAAAATTATGAAATTAATGAAAAAAATCCCCCCAAAAATAATGGATTGTAATTATTTTAAATGATCCGCGGAAACCCTGGATGATTTCCGTATGTTTTGCTGCTTTGAATTTAATCATCTGGCGTATGCTCTCTAACCTGACAACAGCCAGATGCATGTCTCGCTCATGTAGGCGGAGCGAGACATGCATCTGGCTGTTGTCAGGTTACATGCTCTCTACTATCTCCAAGGAACTCAGACGGGAGCCACAGTGGGGGCTGTAGGCTTTGCTTTGAGCAGCCGGTCTGGAGCGTTGTTCTACACAACAACTGATTTTTTTCCCTGCTACACCCGGCTAAGCTGCTTCGCTTCTTCTTCTTCTTGTTTACTACTGGCGGTTGGCTTTAGTCGCAGTACCGCCACCTTCTGCTCTGGAGTGTAAACGCTTCCTCTATGAGAAAAAGGAGCAGCGCATGAACGGAACGAAACACACGCGAACCGAACCGAGACAGTCGAACCGAACGGTTCGGACGGTTTTCATAAATCGTCCTATCCCTAATATATATATATATATATATATATATATATATATATAATAGGGTGTACACTTTTTCATTAATTTTCATTAATTTTTATGGGATTTCGGTGTAACAATAAAAATATACCGAACCGAAAACCATGACCACGAAACTGTGAACCGAACCGAACCGTGGATTTTGTGAACCGTTCCACCTCTAATATATATATATATATATATATATATATATATATATATATATATATATATATATATATATATATATATATATATATATATATATATATATATATATATATATATAATTAGACATTAGATTTTGGCCAGAAGGCTTGGATAACCTTTTTTTCCCTGCTGTGGACAATTCATTCCAACAAACATCTTTCAAAAGAAAAATATTCTGCCCTGAACTATAGTAGAACAAGCATGACATTATCTTACTCCATTTTCAGTCTTCAATAATAAATACAGTTCACTGAAAAGAAAAAAACATAACTGTGTACCTGAGCCCTCTACCGCAAATCCCATGACAACAGAGTAGAGCCAAAAGTCTCTGAACAGCTTCTGCAGACGTGGTTTTGCTTCCTTTATCGGTGGCAACCTCTTAGTCAGCTGAAGTAAAGCACAGACAGTAAACATTGCAGTGATGAAGAAAAAGGCCACACCTTCGAATGGAGGTTTAATTTGCACCAAGTATAATAAAAAAAGTGTTTAAGTTTGGTAACAAGAAGAGATGCTTTGCTCACTTACCACAGCAATAACTGGAATTAGGACACCCAGATTCCCAGCACTGCTGGATGCCTGTAAATAATAACAGTGCATTTCTACTTTTTTACAAAATATCAGCATTATTGGATGCTTCTAACAATAAAAGAGGACACAAGGTACTAAAGACGTTTATTTATACATAGCTTGGATTAATATAAGTGTTAGTTTTTACAAAACAAAAGCTTCAGTCTTAGCGAAGAACTGTGATAAAAACAAATGACAAATTAAAAAAAGCTACAATAAAAGAGAACCTACAGGTTTTTTTTTTACGTCATTCAGGGATCATTTTGATCTCTTGGAAAACTATTAGAGAAGAAGCTAGCATTATTCTAGGTAAACCACTGACCCTTGAATGTCACTACAGGAAGCCAGGAAGTTAGGATTAGTCAGAAGTTGCTTTAAGATTTGTCCATTAAGCCGGGCATACGCTCAGGACAGAAAGGACGTCTAGATTTGTTTAGTGTTTCCCGGATTGGAGATGTCAAGACAAAACAACCAAAAACTGGATCATTTTTAATGGTTTTCCCATTTTTTTATTTATTTTAAAATCAGAAGGCAGTATGTTTCTCATTTTTTGGATTTCCCATTTCAAAATCAAAATTGAATGGCCAGCATGTACAGGCACTATCGGGCCAAGAGAATCCAGTGTTTTGGTTTCCCTGATTTTTCCCGGTGTCCTAAACTGACCTGATCACTCTTAACACACCAAACAGGGCGGGCTAATCCCCTAACATTATCTTCAGAGCCACACCGTTAAGCAGAGCAAAACCCTGCGTGATTCGGTTTCCATGTTATGACAGAGTATTAGGGCCAGGCTAGAGATTTTTTTTTCCATCTATTTCGAGAATAAAGTCATAAAATTACAAGAATAAAGTCGCAACGAGAATAGTCATACAATTACGAGAATAAAATCCTTAAATTATGAGAATAAAGTCCTAAAATTATGAGAATAAAGTCGTAAAATTACGAGAATAAAGTCTTAAAATTACGAGAATAACGTCGTAAAATTACCAGAATAAAGTCGTAAAATTACGAGAATAAAGTCGTAAAATTACCAGAATAAAGTCGTAAAATTACCAGAATAAAGTCGTAAAATTACGAGAACAAAGTCGTAAAATTACGAGAATAAAGTCGTAAAATTACGAGAATAAAGTCTTAAAATTACAACAATAAAGTACTAAAATTACTAGAATAAAGTCGTAATATTCTCAGGTGGCTGATTGGTGGAGCTGGTCAGCCATCATCTGCTGATCGGAGCCTGAAGCTTTCTTGTGGCATGATGACCTAATTCTCTTAATATTATGACTTTATTCTTGTTATGTCACGACTTCATTCTCAAAATAAAAAAATCTCTATCCTGGCCCTAACACTCCGTCCTAACAAGTGAACCAGGTGTAGGACTACACAAGAAAAAAAAGACGTTTGGGAGCAAATGCATGCCTTCATTTGGCAGACTTCCTGTTAACCTAAAGTTGTCATAAACTTTTTAAAGCTGCATTGAAACATGTGGCGATATGAAGCATACCTTCAGGGCGGGGCCCTTATCCGAGGCTCTCTCACTGGCCCTCTTGCCTTCTAAGCCCAGCTGCACAAAAAGCTCCAGCAGGTTGACCAGAAGCTCATCCACCATCTGCTCGGCCTGCATGTTGGCCGCTATGTTTCCCAGAGCATTTATGACAGCCAGGGAGCAGTGTCTGCACAGAGAACAGGGAACATTCAACACAAAGCGTTACACCTTCATACATAAGCTAATATTTCAACAAAAGCCTACTGCCAGCAGATGGCGACAGCGTTACACCATGTCTGCTGATAGGGCCCAGTGCGCCCAGGTTTAACAAAGAATTAGGGGGACAAAAGGTGGCTTTGGTCCTTCCTACTGGATTGGCCAAGGAGGTCACATGGGGGGTGTTAATGGCGGTAAGGGGGTTCTGATGGGTCGCTCACTCCCTCATCAGAGAGGTTTCATTCACATGCCTCAATGAAGTGTGAGTCAGGCGAGGACAGGTGAATCTTCTGGGTATTGTTTCTTTAAAGTGCTTTGTAGCTGGGTGAATGGTTACGTCTAAGACCGGGTTTTTTTCAACCATTGTACTCAGCTACAGCTCAAACTCTAGGGTGAAATCGCAGGGTTTAAAAGTTCACAGCGATTGCCTGTTCTCACACTGTCACATGCGATCCAACTGCTCATACTGGGCGTCCAGAAACCACACGACTGACTGAGTGCTGAGAGATGGCGCTGGTCAGACTTCTCAATTTGGAAGTAGAAGAAGTACTACCTACTTTGCACATGCGCCATGCATTAGGTTCTGCTAAGTCGGCCTGTAGCTCAGCTTCAACAGCAGTATTTACCCACCAACACTTTACAAGGGCCGACTGAATTTTAAACATTTTGTTTGATTTTCTCCTTACCTTATGATTCCTGATGGGAGGTGGTCATGAGAGGCCATTCAGCCCTTGTTACCTCCTGTATTCTACACGATGCAGGACGCACAATGAGGCTGAAACTCAGCCCGATCTGAAAGAATTTCCACAGGACTGGAGAATCAGCCCAAAAACTCAGTGTATGCCCGCCTAAAGACCACCTTCTCTGTAGAGAGAGGGTTTTTGCAGGTTAACAAAGATGGCTTCCTTAACTCCTTGCTCAAACCATCTTTCTTCCTTGGCCAGAATATGGACGTTGTTGTCCTCAAACAAGTGTCCTTCAGCCTTCAGGTGTAGGCGAACCGCTGAGTCCTGTCCTGACGAGTTGCTCTTCTGTGTGGAGCCATGAAGCTGTGTAGTGGTTGCTTGGTCTCTCCAATGTAAAGGTCTGTGCACTCCTCACTACACTGGACTCCAGCAACATAGTTTTCTTCATTCCCAGCAGCCTATTCTTGTTGGTTTTTAAAGGAAAAGTCTGGTCATATTCAGAATTGAAACTTCTGAAATTACTTTAAATATGAAATAATTATATACTGTTCAATAAAGTATTATGTTTTTTTAAATTAAGAGTAATTTAATTTGAATGTGCTTTAATGGAGACATCCATGTTTGTCAAAGAACACTACTGCCACCTACTGGTTTGTGACGTCATGGTGCGGTATCGGCTGTTGATCAAGTCCCAGTGCTGTATCTAGCGTTTTTCACAGCGCGCTATTATCCAAGTACCTTTTTTATTTTTCACTGTTACCCAATGTATTACACCATCCAGCTGCCATGCACGTGGGCATTGTCAGTTTCACTATAGCTCTGGTGAATTTCAATGGTGAAGTCCTCCGGAAATCTTCAATAATTGTTGTTAATTGCAGATGTGTCTAGTAGCTCCAATTGATTTTGCTTGTAAAGCGGGAAGATGTATTAGTTTTAGGTATAAATAATTATCCATTGGTTTTTCTTTGCTGACCGGACTTTTCCTTTAAAACTTCTAGAAAACTTCACGTCCAGTTACATATACTGAACCTTTCAGGCTTAAGCAGATGTAATTAACTAAAAGCAAAATATATATATATAATATGCTATTAATTGACATTTACTCTCAAGTGGATTATTTGTATACAGCACTATCTGATAAGTAAATCAGAAATGTGTATTTTCCTGTAAAGCAACCAAAGTAAAGATGGTTTGAACTTCACCTGTAGCCGTGGTCCTTGTAGTCTTTGGTTGAATAAACCATGGAGCTCGCCTTCACACTGATCTGCTGGAACAAATTCCACACTTCCTGGTAGATGTATTGCTAAAAGCAAAGAAAGAGACGTTAAGCTATTAACATGAGGACTAACTGAGGTGTAGAACCTCTTAATTAAAAAGAAACGTGCCGGCTCTCACATTTCCTGTGATCACCATGCAGCCCAGCTGATCTATGATGAGGACGTCGAGCTGAGAGGGCGGCTGGCAGAACTTCTGCTGCAGGATCTGCAGGATGGGCTCCATCACTCTGGGCGTGTCCCGTAAAGCTACAGCGATGTGGCCCAAAGCTCTGATGGTGTGATCCGGAATCAGGTGGGCATCCCTGGAGGGGGAGGAGAGAGGAACTCAGAGGTTTGTTTCAGGACATTAAGTTCAGGGGTGAGTAAGGCAGGGCCGGCTTACTTGTCGTTTTCCTGGTAGATGTAGAGACGGTTGGACAGGCTGGCGAGGAAAGCTTCTACGATGACGTTGTCCATGGTGAGGCCGGCTTTTAGGCACCTGGGGGAAAAGGGTGAGTTCAAATACGATAAGAACATCTTTTTATCTTAATCAAGATACTAGGAGACCCAGCACAGGACTTCCAAGTCAAGCACAAAGACTTGTTCACCGGGGTGGGACATTTTTTGCCAATGCTGATTTGTAGCAAAGCAATGGAAAGAAAAACTGCTACACTGAATTAAGATGAATCCAAAATCACAGATATTTTTGATCGAAGATGTTCTGGTTCTGAATCTGATGTAACAGAAAGTATAAAACTGATTTACTAGCAGAGACGGTTGGTAAATATAAGCCCTGCTGTGTGAACTCACCTGCATATATTATCGATGGAGATGTCCCGCAGCTGCTCGTACATGGAGGGCTGGCTCTTCTTGTTTGCGTTGGCGCTGATGGTGGATTGGGAATGTTCGTTGGTCACATGGATCTTGATCTCACCCCCTGCTTTAAAGAAGAATTGACATTTTAACCTCATGGTCATCTCTAAAGGCATCCTCCACAGCTCTCATTAGACCACTACGACCAAATGGACCACAGACAAAAAGATCAATTCAGACATCAGATTATCTTCTTCCAAATGTCTCATTCTATGTAAACTGATATCAATTGGTATTAAACGGTTCATATAACTAGCTAACATCTTCCGCCTCCTCCCCAATGAAGAAAGAAGACATATTAGACAAGATATTTTCACATTAAACACACAAATGTCGAAGTAGAGGAGGAACACAGCTGCAGTGCCCAGTTCTTAATTAACCTCCAACAAGTTTTCTATGTTTATTTTGAATCAGCTTCCCTTGGCAGCTGCATCCTGACAGCATGATGCTGGGAGTTGTTGTATCAATGTATATACTGAGCTTGCCCCAGTCAGAGCTTTTTCCTCTCCATCTGCGGACGTGAAATTAATCTGTGTATTTGCTAAATTTGCCTCTGTCTCAGCTTCCTAACTCCACACTATACAGAACTAATTCACAACAAATCATCTCAAGGTGGTTTACAGAAAAAAAATCAACCAAATAATATTTCTCAGGCACTAAATGGAATGCTACTGAAATTTTGCACATCTTTACTGATGTTGTATATATATATATATATATATATATATATATATATATATATATATATATATATATATATATATATATATATATATATATATATTAGTGCTGTCAAAATTATCGCGTTATTATCGCGTTAACGCGAGGCCATTTTAACGGCGATAATTTTTTTAATGTGAGATTAACGCTATGTGGTTTTATGGTACAATTTTCCAAGTACATCCCGCTGCAGCCTGCGGGAAGGCGGGCTATTTTCCCCCAGTGTATGCATTTCTCATAGGCTTCGAGAGCGGACCTCCTCAAGGGAAAAAGACGCTCATACACTGGGTGACGCTAGTGCCTTTTCTTTAAGCCCCACCACCAATAAACAAGTTGAGTGTCTGGTAACTAGTAGCAACCTGAAATACGCTGAGAAAACAGATTACTGAGGTGAAATGGAATCTGCTACGGCACTCTTGCCATCTGTGTACGCAACAGGTCGGTATCGTGTGTGTGTGTGTGTGGGTGGGTGTGTGTGTGTTCTCATTTTTGTTAAGAGGCTGAAAAGTAACTTTCTAGAGCATAGACTACCTCCATGATGTTGGTCTATTGATTTTGATGTATTGATTGAAAATTGTTCATTATTACCTTGGTTAATTAACATCTAATGTTAACTCTATTAAATTTTATAGCAGTAGGGTAAAATGCTTGTCTTTGTTCAAAAGACTGTATTAACTGTAAAGACTGTCTTTTACATCAGCCTGTTTTCAGGGCCTTTTTTTTGGCTACATATTTGTTATTTTTGGCATAAATCAGTGTCTGTGACCTGTTTTCATTTTTAAAAAAAGAACATTGGCACAAACCTAGCCTGTATGTATTTTTTTGTATGTCATCGAGAGTATTTAAATGATTTTCAATCAGGGAAAAAATGTGCGATTAAAATGCGATTAATCGCGAGTTAACTCAGGCATTGATGCGATTAATCGCGATTAAAAAAATTTAATCGATTGACAGCACTAATATATATATATCTATGTAGAACGCTTCACAAAATCCACGGTTCAGTTCTGTTCACGGTTTCATGGTCACGGTTTTCGGTTCGATTCTGTATATGTTTATTGTTACACCGAAAAATAAAAAAAATGATAAAAAAAATTATAAAAATTAATGAATTTTTTTTTAAAATGAAATTAATGAAAAAAAATCCCCAAAAAATAATGAATTGTAATTATTTTTAATGATTTGCGGAAACAATGGATCATTTCCGCATGTTTTGCTGCTTTGAATTTAATCATTTCACGCATGCGCTCTACCATCTCCAAGGGGAGCGGACGGGAGCCACAGCGGAGGCTGTAGACTTTGCTTTGAGCAGGCGGTCTGGAGCGCAGCGGGGCGGAGCGCTGACGGAGTATGTGGGATTTTGGGGTTAGCATGACATGTTGGTCGTGTTGCTGTTAGCATAAACAAAACGTGTTGCACAATGCTTGCACACTGTTGCACTTTTATCCACAACTTTCTTTCCTCCGTCATCGTAGGTCACTCTAAATGCAAAGCGCTCCCATACAGCAGACCTATTAAGTGCTGCTGGCGCGTCTTCCAACTCCTGTTCTTTCCCACTCGCCATACCCACACAATTCTCCACAACAACTGATTTTTTTCTGCTACACTACGCTGCTTCGCTTCTACTTCTTCTTGTTTACTACTGGTGGTTGGCTTTGGTCACAGTACCGCCACCTTCTGCTCTGGAGTGTAAACGCTTCGCCTATGAGAAAAAGGAGCAGTGCATGAACCGAACGCAACACACGCGAATCGAACGATTCGGTTTTCAAAAACCGTTCCATCCCTAATATATATATATATACATATTATATATATATATATATATATATATATATATATATATATATATATATATATATATACACACACACTTATTAATATCTCTACCAGTGTGACCTTTTCTTGCATGCCTGCCGCTTTGCTGCTGTTACGACTAAATTTCCCCATTTTGGGACATAAAGGGATTTTCTATTGTATTCTTTTATTCTATTCTATCAATTCAGATCAGAAGATTTATCTCTAAAGAAAACCAGCTGATGGCGTCCACTCATTGACTTTGCAGGATTCTCTTCACCTGGATGAGAATGTGGCAACAGTAGACCTTTTCTTGCACTGTTGTAGACTCTGGAGCAATCCCTAAGCATGCATGTAGCAACAGTGGTAAGCAAAAACTCCCTTTTAACAGGAAGAAACATCAAGCAGAACCAGGTCTTTTGCTGGGGCGGACTGGCATTCACCTCATTGTGCACTGATGTTTCACTTCCCATCCAGGAAGCTTTAATAATAAAAAAAAAAATACATATATAAATTTTGAATCGAAAAAGCTTCCTGGATGAGAAGCGAAACATCTTCAAACTTGTAAAACAATGTCCAGTGGTTTGTTTTTAACTTTTTTAACTTTGTTGGGAACATGTTAAATCACTACAGACCCAAAGAAAAACAGCAATCAGTTAACATGCAAAACAAAACAGAAAATAAAAGTGACACTTTTCTAATAAACATGGTTAAAACTACAAAGTGAGAGAGTACATGCCACCTTTTCTACCCCACCTCACAGCTTTGTGCTACTTTTGTTATTTCAACACTACAGTTTATGGTGATCGATTTGAACCCGCTCTTACCAGGATTGTACTGGCTGTGATATTTGTAGAGCTTCACCAAAACCGGAGACGGTACCACCAAGAAGTCCCTGAGAGACGTGGTGACGGAGTGGGCCACCACCGGGAAGCGCTCGCACAGACGACCCAGACCCTGGAAGCAAACAGTGGACTGACATCAGAGCAATGGAGGCACACGGCTCAATAGTCAAAGCTCGGACTCACTTCCTTCTCATCCCATCCAGACAGGGAACAAGCATTTTAGCTATCGTGTCTGTTTCAATTACAAATATGGGCAAAACTTTAAAAATATTCTGTAATAAAGACAATAAATAAACACAGCAAATCGCTGCATTTCCATTATATAAGAAATGCAGTTAAAATAAGAGGTGGATAAGTTTGCTTACAGATAAAATCTAAGGGCGCACCGACTGCAGATTTCTGTCAGTTTTATAAGATTACAAGATATATTCCTTATTTAAATCTAAAAATACAGGAATAACCAATTAAAAGTCAGCGGGGTCCGATTAAAGAAAATCATCAACCAGTAAAGGTCCGGAGACATTTTTCATTAAAATCTGGAAATTTAAACAGAATTTATCACTGAAATAAAATGAAGTTTTTATGCCTCCATGTTATACATTGACTTTTTAAATAAAAAAAATAAAAACAAAATCCATTTTAAAATGAAAAGTGTAGACAATTTCCTGATTCACAAATTTTATAAAACAACTGAACTGACCCTTTTTGTTGTTTTTGTTTTTTTATTTTAACGTCATAGGGAAGCTGCTGTTCCAACGGTTGCATTTCTGAATTCTCCCGACTGGTGCACGACTTTACATGAGTGAATAAAGTGACTGTGATTGGTCGTTTATCAAAGGTGTGGGATTGTTGTGGCAGAAGGTTCACAAGCCTTTCTGGTTGTGGCTGGTGTCTTGGAAGCATCTTGCTAACCAGTTAGCTACTTAGTGCTAGTAGGTTCCTAATGGGAAATTCCATTGGGACCAAGTAGCACTAAATTGGTGACTTAGAAACGACACTGTCAAGGAACACTATGGACAGAGGAAACATGCAAGAGGAGGAGAGTTTAGTGTCGGAGGTCGTGGATGAGTCTCCTCCATCATACATTTTTTATTTAGAGGAGGAAAGCGGGGATGAAGATGTTGTGGAAGAGGACGCCAGGGCGGCAGAAGCTTGGTTTGGTGTAGAAGGCTTCCAGCCGTACATGTTTGAGCCCTTGCCTCGCAACGCTGCCAGTTCTGTTAGCTCTACGCCTGCTGAAGACACAGACGTCCATCCACGTGAACACTGGGACGGAACTCAATGGGAAAGGAAATTATTCTTATTTCAACCGTTGCGTATATTAGCTGTGACATATGAATCAAGATGCTATGAGCGAAAAAATTTGATGACCATTGATATATGATTGGTGGAATTTAGGTGTTCAGGCTGACGTATAACTAACTGGCCTGCATAAGATAATGGAAAAAAAATAGGGATGCATGATATTGGGATTTTGGCCGATATCCGATATGCCGATATTTTAAAACTCATGTAGCCGATAACCGATAATGATACCGATGTTAAAGCTGGACAAAAATAAGTAGTCACTGAAAATAGCCGTTTTGTTATCCATTTCTGACACTTGGAAAAATAATAAACTCAAATATATTTTCATATGCTGATATCAAATTGATTTTTAAAAACGCGGTATCGATCTATTTTACTTTCAAAATCTCATTAAAATTTCATCGTTCTGTTACAAACTCTCGTGATATTTTGCAAATTCTTGTGAGATTTTGTTAGTAAAATAGATCGATACCGCGTCAATATATCAACATATAAAAATATGGCAAAATTTTGTGAATTTTCGGGGGATTTCGTAGCATAACGATGACATATAGCAATATTTCATTAGTAAAAGAGATTGATATGGTGTTTTTAAATAGCAATATATCAGCATATGAAGATATTGTGATATTTTAATGTATCAATATTTTTTTCCCTTGTCTTTAAAAGTTTTTAAGTCTGTAAAAAATAATTTTTTTGAGGAAGAAGAGGTAATAGTAAGCCAGAATGATTCGACATTTCAATATGACTTCGCAACGACTTTAAAAAAGATTATATAGGATCTTTAAAGCCTTTCAAAATGCTACGTTTAATTAAAAACTGGTTTATTTTACCTGTAGGCAGCATATGAGGAGGGGCATGTGGGCGATAATCACTTTACTAGAGGTCTTTGACTGCAGCTTCTCCGACAGTTTGGTGCAAAGGTTCTCAGCTCCTGTAGGAAAAAAAGCAAACAGCTTGAAATTCGCATCAGTTGAACGTAGTCATTGTTAAACTAGGTGAGAAAAGCCAATCTTTACCCTGTTCCTCTGTTACAGCCCAGACCATGAGGTCAACACAGGCAGCGTTGGCCTGACAGCGCAGCTTGAGTGGGCTCAGTTCGCTCTGGAGATACTCCACATCATGGAGAATCCTCTGCAGCTCTGATTGGCTGCTGCTGAACTGCTCCAGGACAAAGTCATGGACTTCTTTCACATAGTCCGTCTGAAGGTCTAAACCGTGAAAAACATCATTTATTATACAGACTACCACAATGCTTGAATGCTGTTTTTTTAATTATCATTTAAAAGATTTGCGGCCTTACCTTTTAAATTGTACAGAGTGTCTCTCAGCATTTTAAATATGGCCACATATAATGGATCACTGAATGTTTTGTAGTGGAAATGGATGCCAGGATTGCTCTAACAAGAGAAAAGCACCATTACTGTGATGAATCAGTGAGAAGTCCAAAATGACTTATTACTGTAACTGAAAATATAGAGGATGATCTTTTATTTCCGGGTGGATCATCTAAATAAGTGGTCCTCCTAATTGTCAATCATTCTGGTGATATGTTTACGTAAGGCCGTCCTACGTGCTTGTCCCGTTAGCTATCTTTTTCTGCTCATGCACACTTTCAGGCGTATATCTGTGGTGAGCTACGTTTTCAGACAGTCATTGAAGCTCACCTTTCTCACAGTGGTTCTTTGAAAATGGCCAAGGGGCGTAAGAGAAAAAGTGTCTACGAAGCGTATGAGAAGAAAAGAAAGGCCTCAGAAGAGGCGGTTATATCCCAGAATGCTTTGTGAGGAAAGCTCCCCTCGCAAAGAATTGTGGGAATTGCTGTCACAGTGGCCTGTGTCGCGATAGGCTGTAGCTACCCGACAGCGGTGACTAACAAAGATGGCAGCACGAGGTGGAGGAGGAGTTACGTAACATATGGGGAGAAAAAGAAACAGTGATCATCTGTCTGAACTGAGTCCACTCTATATAGTGATTGAGGGATTTAGGCGTTAGGACGGATGTTCTGACACAGTAAGCTTGTATGAGCTATGAGAACAGAAACTTTTAAACAGAGCGTGCACGACGAGAGATGGGCTCACGCACTCACATTTTTTTGGAGAGGGTGGGTCTTTAAAAAAATTATAAATCGCAAATTTTTTTTTTCTTTTCTTTTAAAGGAAAAGTCCGCTCAAACTTCTGAAGCACTTTAAATATGAAATTATTCCATACTGTTCAATAAATAATAGGTGTTTTTAATTAGGAGTAATTTAATTTGAATGTGCTTTACTGGAGGCATCCATGTTTGTCAAAGAACACTACTGCCACCTACTGGTTTGTGACGTCACGGTGCGGTATCGGCTGTTGATCAAGTCCCAGTGCTGTATCTGGTGTTTGTCACAACGCATTATTATCCATGATGACCATTGCACCATGCGAAGCAGAGAGTAACGGATTAATAACGTGTTTTTTCTCTGGCTAGAAGTTCGATGGCAAATCCTTCCTCTTCAAGTTGGCAATCTAACAATGAACCCGCACGTGGAGGATCATGAATCGCAAAAGTGAAATAATTCATTTTTTCCCCACTTTTACCCGATGAATTGCAAAATCCAACTGCCATGCACATGGGCATTGTCAGTGTAACTACAGCTCTGGTGAATTTCAATGGTGAAGTCCTCTGGAAATCTTCAATAATTGTTGTTGATTGCAGATGTGTCTAGTAGTTCCCATTGATTTGGCTTGTGAAGCGGGGAGAATGGCGCTAGGCTAACCGCACCGTGACATCACTGCTGGAAGATGGCAGGAGTGAGGTGTTACTATATTTGGCAAAAATGGCCGCTCCCAGACTCGGTGATCGCAACGAAAAATATTGTTTTTATTTTTTTACTGATCAACGCTAACTTCATGAAATCACGACAAACGTATTGGTTGTAGGTATAAATAACGATCCATTGGTTATTCCTTCCTGTCCAGACTTCTACTTCAAAATAAAAAAGCCAGTGTTGGATTATGGTGACCCTCTGTCCAGTGATTCATAAGAGTGAGTTAATCACCTTTAGATTTGTAACAAACTGCAAGAATTTAACCCGTCACAGTGAGTAACTGGGGGTCTTGTTGAAATCCACTTTATGGGAAATGAAAACACAAAAGAGTAACAAGCAATATTGTGAGCTTCACTTGCTCTCTGACCAAAACGTCTTTTTATCGACTATAAATCTGAATCCAGATCTTTATGGTGTAATAATTCTGATTTAGATTGATGATTTTGACTCATTTTCTTCTTAATCAATTCCACTTTGTTTATAATAAAGTTTTTCACTCAGAATATTAGATTCATTGAGATCTAGGGTGGATTTTAGAACGTTCCTTTTAATTTTGTGAGCAGTGAATGTTTTATATGTAATAGTTGAGCTTTTCTTTGCCAGGCCTCCCTTTCAATAGAATATTTTCAAAGATGACTTTCCTGGTTAAATAAAGATTTTATAAAATCATAATAATTACATGTATTTGAATAAAAGAAGAACAGGGCCGTGTGGAGTCCTACCTCTCGAAGTTCTGCTAAGGTTCCATCCAGGGACTTTAGAAATGACTCGGAAACAAACTGCTCAACCTGTTCAAGACAAGCAACAGTTTAGATTAACATTTCAGTTCATCGTCACCGTGATGCTTTTTAAAGAGACTTTGAATTTCACTAGGATGAATGCTACTCTGCAAAAAATTTTAATCTACATAAGTCAATTTTTCTTAAAATAAGTGTCATTTTTTTTAATGGAGGAGGAAAGTGAGACATTTTGCCAATGGAATGAGACAATTTACATTTAAAATAAGAAAGTACAATTGTATCGTTTTATTTCAAGCGCATGTTTTCTAATTATCTTATTCTAAGAGTGAAAATACTCATTCGATTGGCAATCTATCTCATTTACTTCCTCAAATTTAGGGTAAATACACTTAATTTAAGATATTTTTAGTTATTTCTAGATCGTTTTTCCAGTGTAAAAGGAATTGCACTGCAAAACCGATCTAGAAAGAAGTAAAGAATTCTTAATTTAGGTGCATTTAGCCTTAATTTGAGCAGTTTTATCAGATTATTTGCCAATGGAATGAGTATTTTTTGCTTTTCAAATAAAAAGATTAGATAATATTCACTTGAAATGAGACAATAAAATTGTTTTTTTCTTATTTTAAAAGTAAATTGTCTTGTTCCATTGGCAAACTGTCTCACTTACCGTATTTTCACAACCATAAGGCGCACCGTACTAAAAGGCGCACTCTCAGTTATGTGTCCCATTTCTGTATTTAACACACACATAAGGCGCACCGGACTATAGGGCGCGTTTTTTATATACAGGTACATGTCCTCTACTACCTTTAAATACCTCTACTGCGTATTTAAAAATACAGCGGGGGCAAAACTGAGTATGACTGTGCTTTATTCATGTATTTATTACAAACTATTAATCAAACCTGGCTGCTGGCCGTGAGACAGACACATCGCAGATGACACAGCGCTGTGATCACTCCTAAATTAACTTAAAATCCTGAAACCTGCCGACGGAATATGTTCGCTTTTATTACCGGTATCCTGGTGCCTGCAGTTAAAATTATTTAGATGAAAAACACCTGCCAGCAGCCACGGTGAACCTGGAGGCTGCCCGGCCTAGAGGCTGCTGATGAAAGGATTTCTGCTGTCGGTGCACCGCTGGTATGTGGGGGTCTGAGCGCCTCCGACAGAAATAGATAATCTGGATGAACTGACTGCAATTATGAAGTTTTCAGGTGGACTTTCTCACTTAAAAACATATTAAAACTACTTTATTCCCCCTGATCACAGCAAATATAGCTGCAAGATTAAGATTATTTAGATGAAAAAACACCTGCCAGCCACCGCGATGAAGAGGAGGAGACCCGCCCAGAGGCTGCTGTTGAATTAAGTTTTCAGGTAGAAAAATAGAGCGGGAGCAAAACTGAGTGTGATTGTGCTTTATTCATGTATTTATTACAAAGTATTAATCAAACCCATCAAAGTCATCATCCTCTGTTTCTGAATTAAACAGCTGCGCTAAATCAGACATGCCAATTTCCCCTTCTTCGCTATCAGAGTCACTTTCCGTACAGCGCGGCTCCTCAGAAATAATGCCGGCTTTTGCGAAAGCTTGAACAACAGAGCCAGCAGACACTTTAGTCCAAGCATCTACAATCCATCCGCAAACGGTGGCGTAACTTGCCCGGCGCTGCCTTCCACTTATCCTGAAACTGTGGTCTCCGTCTGTCATCCATCGCTCCCACGCCACTCGCAGCCTTACTTTGAACGGCCGGTTCACACCGATGTCGAGCGGTTGAAGTTCCTTTGTCAGACCTCCCGGGATAACGGCGAGCACAGCATCCATTTGATTCACCATGTTTTTCTCTTCAGCTGTGAGATGGGCACGCATGGAGTCACAGATTAACAGCGATGGTGATGCGTGGAAAAAAACACCTGTTCTCCTCACATACACCTCTCTCAGCCACGCTTTCATCATCTCCTCATCCATCCAGCCCTTTTCTTTGCGTTAATATCATATGTCATCAGAGCGCTGTGTCTACCTCGCTGTCAGCTCCCAGATCAGCTTCTCTGATTGGTTGATGCGGCGCGTCCAGCAGCAAAACTTCAATTTTTCCATCTCGAGCAGCAGCAGCGTGTTGGCGGTGCGTTAGATGCTTAAAGGCTGCGGGACCTTTTGCTGCACCTATACGCGCGTCAACCATTGACTTTGCATGTAAACTCGCTGCTTCTGCTGCACCTGCTGGGTCCGGTTCACACCGATGTCGAGCGGTTGAATAACAGCGAGCACAGCGTTAATTTGTTTCCCCATGTTTTTCACATCAGCTGTGAGATGGGAATGCATGGAGTTACATATTAATGGTGATGAGTGAAAAAAAAACACCTGGTCTCCTTACATTCAGCCACTCTTTCATCATCTCCTCAATGAGGTGGTCTCAAAAGTCGCAGTTGCAACACACATAGGGTGCACCGCACCAAAGGGCGCACCGCACATTTTGAGGGGAAAAAAAGACGTTTAAGTGCACCTTATAGTCGTGAAAATACGGTACCTCCCGAATTAAAGAAAATGCACTTATTTTAAGAAACAAATGACTTTTTGAGATTTAAATTTTTTGCAGTGTGTTAATTATATTAGGCACCAACCATTTGAAGGAGCAGTCTGAGCATATCCATAGGGACCTGGAACTCTCCGGCGCTGCTCCCGGTGAAGAGCGGAGACACGGAGAAGCTGGAGCTGATGGTGGAGAAGTAGTAATCCGGGTCCACCGCGCTGCCATCAGGGAGGTAAGAACCTGAGGCAGGACGGAAAATCACAGCCATCAGAGATTTTTTTGAAAGGACGGCAACAAAAGTGGCTGATAGGATCAGAAGCTATTTCTTTAAACAATTATTCAATTTAATTTACAAAAGCATTCAAACCTCAGGGACTTATTTCATATTTTTGCATGTTAAAGCCATGAAATTCAAGGTATTTTATTGATGTGATTGACTGCAACATAGTAGCTCATTATTGTGATGTAAAGGGAAAATATTGGAGGGATTCTTTCGTATTTATATTCTAAAAGGCTAAGCTGCACATTTATCCTATTTAGAACCACCTTTAGTTGAAATTGCAGCTGTGATTCTTTAGGGGAATGATACTCCCACCACCATGCATCAGAATGAGATACTGTGCAGCTTTTGGTCTATTTTTGTGACCAAACATTTTATCAAGCTTCACCACAACTTCCACCCCGACCTTCAGCGTTTACCGGTGGCCAGTCACCATGGAAACATCTGAAGACGTCACAGAAAAGCTGGATTTATACAGATAAGAATACATACAGGTGGACTATGTTAGCTTTATAACAGACTTCTGAAGGAAAAAAGATTAACTTGGTTTTGTTTAAGGATAACAGATAAAAATGGCTGAAATAAATAAGCACACCACACTTTTTTAAAAGCATGTGTTCGCTTGATATAGGCAAGATTTTTCATTAAATAAGTGTATTTTCCCTTGAATGTAGAAGGCAAGTAAGAAATTTGCTAAAGGAATAAGATATTTTATGTTTAATAAGTCGTTTTAATAAGTGTTTTAATAAGAAAAAAACAACTTCTTTGTTTCCTTACAAGTCCATAATGTCTAATTACCTTATTACATTATTTTAAGGGGAAAAACATGAATTCCAATAGCCTTTCATGTAGTTTAGCTGTTTGAAATAAGGGCCACTGGATTCATTTGAAGTAAATTTTCCTAGTTTTTAATCACTTTCTTTGCCGTGTTCCGTTTTACTCTGTATTGCATTTGTCTATTAACAAAATAATGGAAAATACATTAAAATGTGAGGTTTTAGTTTAAGGAAATTACCTTCAAAGTACTGCGCAGAGGGATCAGCAGGAGAACTAGGTGTCAGCCCTGTTCTCTCCGGACTTGCCTAAAAAGAAAAAAATGGATCCAATCTTAATCAGCAGCTCCCAGGTGCCTTGCCTTATTCTGCTCCCGGTCTGTTATACCTGCTGTGAAACGCTGGACACGGAGGAGCCTTTACGCTTCAGGGAGTCTCCCTGACACACTGTGAGCAGAGAGCTCGGTAGGATTGAACGGAACTCGTTGAAAGAGCGCCGGCGGGCAGCATCGCCTCCATCCGCAGTGGACAGCAAAGGAGCAGCAGGTCGGGGGAACAGCTTAGACAGCAGCGGCTCGTCAGTGTTACTGTATCGGCCGAATGCCCTGGCTACACCGAGCAGGCAGGGTACAGCGTACCTGCACAGGTATTCTGCAAGTGGAATCGAGCACAAAATATATCAGAATCTAGAGGTAGCAGCTAAAATATTGATTCGACATGCAAGTTTTTCATGTTGGCACCTTTATCGTGAGAATCTGGATTCTTGCAGATGTCTCGGAGGACCTGCATGATGTCCATGAGCGCCTCCAGGATCTGAAATACATGGTTAGCTTCTGAAGTACAGCTTTATTAGACGATGGAATACATTAAAAAAAAATAAAATAAACAGTCAACAGTGACACTGGCCTCCATTAAAAAAATGTAAAACATTTTAATAACTAAATTATTTACAGAATGAAAGAAAACAACAATTTTTTTTAGACTATGATCTCAAAACTACCACGTCTAAATGTATCACAGATGCAAAAATGGGGTTTAAAAGAAGAAAAAAAAGCGCTGAATGTTGGAATCTGTAAATAATATACCAATCTTATGTTTATATTTTATCACTGCTGCACTTTAAAAATAGAAATGTCTTGGGAGCTGTACCGAGCGAAAATTTTTTTTTTTTCTTAAAATGACAATAAAGTCTGTTTAAGTCTAAGTGCTGATTCATATTCTATATATAAGAGGGATTTTACCGGAAGCACTTTGCACACAGCAGCCAGAGAGTTAATGTAACGATAATCCAGAACGGTCCTAAAACTAACAGCAGCATCAATAAGGTCTACATTTACATACCTAACACTAAACAATTATTTCACCAATATGAGTTTCTATAAGGCCTGATGTAGACAATTTCTTTTTTTTCTTCTTCTTCTTCTTCTTCTTTTTTTTTTAGGTTTTTCTTTTGTTTTTGCGGCACTAAGTGGCTCTTTTTTGCGACAGTAGGCTGACAGGAAAGGGGTTATGAGAGAGAGAGGAAGACATGCGGCAAAGGACCGCAGGTCAGATTCAAACCCAGGTCGGCCGTGTCTAGGACTAAGCCCTCCGTACATGGGTTGTGCGTGCTAACCGCTGCGCCACCTGCAGGCCCTGATGAGGCCAATTACAATCAAACCAAATAACCTAAGGGTAATTCATGTCTTAAAGTCGTAGGGAAACAGCTTTTCCAACCGTCGCATTTCCGAATTCTCCCGAGTGCACGACTTTACACGGCTGAATAAAGTGAATGTGATTGGGCCTTTATCAAGGGGGCGGGACTGAAGCAAGTTTGATTCTGGCTGGTTAGTTGGAAGCATCTTGCTAACCAGTTACCAACTTAGTGCTAGTAGGTTCCCAATGGGAAATTCCATTGGGACCAAGTAGCACTAAATTGGTGACTTAGAAACGACACTGTCAAGGAACGCTATGGACAGAGGAAACATGCAAGAGGAGGAGAGTTTAGTGTCGGAGGTCGTGGATGAGTCTCCTCCGTCATACATTTTTTATTTTTTTATTTAGAGGAGGAAAGCGGGACGAAGATGTTGTGGAAGAGGACGCCAGGGCGGCAGAAGCTTGGTTTGGTGTAGAAGGCTTCCAGCCGTACATGTTTGAGCCCTTGCCTCGCAATGCTGCCAGTTCTGTTAGCTCTACGCCTGCTGAAGACACAGACGTCCATCCATGTGAACACTGGGACGGAACTCAATGGGATTGAGTATATTAGCTGCAAAATATGAATCACAATGCTATGACCGAAAAAATTTGATTGACAGATGACCGTTGATATATGATTGGCCTAATTTAGGTGTTCAGGCTGACGTATAACTAACTGGCCTGCATAAGATAAAGGGAAAAAAAACACACAGATTTTAAGACAGGATTTTTTTAAATAGAAATTTTCTAAATTTTGGGACAATATCGTCTAATAAAGATTACATTTATAAACATGTTTAAGCCAGAATGATTAGACATTTAAATATGACTTCCCTACAACTTTAAAAATAAAACATTCTACTCAATTTAGAACTTTCTGTAACGCTTTATTTTACAGAACATCAATAACCATATAATAGCATGGTAATAACATAGCAAGTTACACTATCACTAAAAGAAAACCTTATGGAGAATTTTTGTAAGTGCTGTGGTTCAAATTTTAGGCAGACAACGTAAAGTCAGACTTCTTAGATTTCAAACTGTTATCAGCAGCAAACTCATTATTTCCTCGTCAGCAATTAATTAGTGTTATTATCTAGTAAAATGCAGTTTTCTGTTGGCATATAACAGAAACCAAACCTAGAAGACAGCAAGCCAGTCTTTTTAACCCATGTTTATATGTTACCTGAGTTCAGTTTTATAATGCTTTAGTTACTTGATCATAAGTTACAATTTAATTTATAAGCCTTTGGTAGGTGGTGGCCTATAGTAGAAACGTTTATGTGGTAACCTAATGGTGACTAACCACCCAATAGTTAGATGGTAACATACAATTCTACTATTTACATGTGGGTAATTACTTTGAAATGACATACCTTAATTTTGAGGTAATTACCAAATAAAGCATTTCTTGTTACCAAGTAATATTGTGTGACTTGCTATGTTATTACCGTGTTATTACTTGGTTGTTGATGTACTGTGACAGAAAGCTTTAGTGAACTTTCCTGCTAAGAAACCAAAATCCTGTTATTTTCATACAATATATAAAAAACAGGTAATGAGGCTCTATTTTTTTTTCTTTCTTTCCTAATAAGCAGAAACACGTCGGCACAGACCTGTCCTCGTAGGTTCTCATCTCTTTGGGCAACATCTGACAGCAGCGTTACAAGACAAAAGCTGAAGTTTTCAGCGACTGGAAGAGCATCTGTGTGAGAAAATGACAATAAAGATCAACCAGAGTTTGAAACCCTCAAAACACAGCGTGGATTTCACTGCACTGATACAGACCCGGTCCTTTGCGTTCTGAGCTCTCCTCTATCCACTGGACTTTAGGAAGCCCTTTAAGCAGCCCAAGAAGGTAGGGAACGATAACATCTTTGTGCTGCAAGACAAGGATCGCACAGAACATCAGTTTCAGCAGGTCACTGTGCAGTGGGAAAAAAAGTATTCAACTATTCACCCTAGTTAAAGAAATAGAGATCTATGGATTTCACTCAGTCGTCACATTTATTCAAAAAGAGAACAGTTCATCATACAGCCCTTATGGCACAGCATTCTGCCCTGTTCTGCCTGAGCAGCGTTCATTCCCCCTCACTTACAACAATTAAAGTAGTCAGAGTTATGGGAAGAAGCTATGTCTGGTCTACAAACACTATCCTGCAGGGAATGGTGTGGCCTTGAAAGTGAAACAGACTGAGTGAAAATTTTTATAGTGAGTAAATAGGATAAATTCATATATAACAGAAGAGAAATCAACATTTTCCGACAACACACTGTTGGCGCGAAAGCATAAAAAGTGACAAACAGGGTTTACCTGGAGGTGTGACTCCACCAGAAAAATACCGAGAGCGATTACAGCATCCCTCCTCCTCTCATCAAGCTGGAAGACCCCTCTGAAGTCCACAGGGCACATACATTGCAGCTTCTGCACCTGCAACACAAAAACACAGGAAAATGAAGAAAGGCAACAATTACTTTTTAACAAACTTTATGAATTACTAAAATCCAGGTTTTTCTGCAAACTTTCAGCATCTGTGTAAAGGAAAAAATACAGTTTTTCAGCAATATGATGGATGATATTATGTTTCATTTATTTCTGATAAAACAAAATATTTTACAGCAGAATTTCCAACCCCCCTGCAGTTTTACTGCAGTCCACTAGGGGGAGTGACCTCTGTGTTGAGAAGCTATGCTTTGCTGAGGAGGAGAGAGTTGATTGGATCAGCAAATACATCTGAGAGTACTAGAAAAATTATAATCCTATGGGAGAATTATCCTGCCATAATGTAAGAGCACATGATTTCAATTTGAGAAAAGAATCTCATCTTCTTGCACTCAAAACTTATAATGCTCACACTCAAAACATGCGCTCTCTCTCAAATATTTTCATTTCTCTCTCAAATCTTTGTTTCTTCTCTCAGATTTAATGCTTCTTGCACAGATATTTTCTCCTCTCGCTTGCCTCCTTCTCTTTGAGCACAAACCGCGCTCTGCTCGGGTCTCAAATACGCTCGCAAACCCGTAGGCTCTGCTTGCCGATTTTTTCTGCTCTCTCTCGGATTGCAGTTGGATCGTCGCCTAGCAACCATTCCAGCCAATAGAACGACAGCCTCGATAAGGGTGCGCTTGTTTAACCCTACTGAGTGTGCCTGTGCTACTACGCCACTTATAAGAGCGTCAGCTGAAACTGCTATTTACAGTAGTTTTGTGGCTCGATTCAGCAAAGTTCAATACTTATGGATAACCCAAACAATTCTGAATTAAGTAATTTTAAACAATTAGTGGTTTGTTATGTACAAAAGCAAAGAACAGACATATTAAATTATTATCTTGAAATACTTTGTTAGTATTGATTTCAAAGTGTAGGGGAAAAAATAATTTTTTTTACAAAAAGTTTAAATGTTGGATAGTTATTTCCAATTATTATTATGGTGTTATGTGTCCAGTCAGCTTTCTTATTGACGTGAACACCCAGGTATTTGAAACTCTCCACAGTTTCTATGTCCTGCCCCTGAATGTTCACACGGGGTCCTCTCCTGAAGTCGATCACCATCGCCTTGTTCTAACTGGTGTTTAAACACAGGTGTTTTTTCTCACAACAGTCCACAAAGTCCATGATGACTGACCAGTACTCCTGTCCATTCCTCTCAGACACACAGCCCACAAGGTGAAGGTGTAGGGTGAAGAGAAATGGAGACAGGTCGGTGGCCTGGAGGCCCCAGTGCTGCAGACTGCCACCTCTGACTGATAGCCTTGCAGACACAGGGCTGGTCAGTCAGAGAAAATCCTGACTTTGATTTTCTTATAGAAGTCAGGAGAAAAAGATTTCTGTTCCAGGGTCAAGTCATCCACGCCTCCGAAAATTAACAATCTCACTGTTAACTAAATATAAAATTTGAGGTCTGATTAAACATGATAATAAAATTTAAATAAATAAATACCAATTTTAATATCATAATACAGTACTTATTATTTATTTACCTGCTGATATAGCCAAAGAAACCGCATAGGTAGTCCAATGAAAAGCTCCTTTGAGGTAAAAAGAGCGGTGGCTTTCAGAAGACATAAGTCTCCTTTCCCTGTAATGTCCTACTTGAGCTGCGAATGGACTCCTCTTTCGGACCAATTGTCCACTCATCCAACATTTTAAAACATCCATAACTCACTGACTGGTTAAAACGTAAAGATTTGCCATTATACTAACAAAGTATTTCAAGATAATAATTTAATATGTCGGTTCTTTGCTTTTGTACATAACAAACCACTAATTGTTTAAAATTACTTAATTCAGAATTGTTTGGGTTATCCATAAGTACTGAACTTTGCTGAATCGAGCCACAAAACTACTGTAAATAGCAGTTTCAGCTGACGCTCTTATAAGTGGCGTAGTAGCACAGGCACACTCAGTAGGGTTAAACAAGCGCACCCTTTCCAGAGGCTGTCGTTCTATTGGCTGGAAAAGTTGCTAGGCGACGATACAACTGCAATCCGAGAGAGAGCAGAAAAATCGGCAAGCAGAGCCTACGGGTTTGCGAGCGTATTTGAGACCCGAGCAGAGCGCGGTTTGTGCGCGAAAAGAAGGAGGCAAGCGAGAGGAGAAAATATCTGTGCAAGAAGCATTAAATCTGAGAGAAGAAACAAAGATTTGAGAGAGAAGAGAAAATATTTGAGAGAGAGCGCATGTTTTCAGTTTGAGCATTATAAGTTCGGAGTGCAAGAAGATGAAATTCTTTTCTCAAATTGAAATTATGTGCTCTTGCATTATGGCAGGATAATTCTCCCATATAATCCCCCTAAAATCAAACTTAAAGCAAGACTGTGTAAAAGTTCTTATCCACTAGAGGGCGCTGGACTATGGAGTGAATTATGTTCCCATGTTTTCCCAAATAGAAATTTGAAAGAAAAACAATTTTTTTTTTTATATTGGAATAAATAAAGGCCAATCCAGAAATCCAACTTTGAAAAACATTTAATAAAAAAAAAAAGAGTAACACTGCAGTTTTCCCTGATTTAGTTTTTTCAAAAGATGTTAACAAAAAAATTTTTTTTTACAGATATTTTCCACTTTCTTTGATGTTCCTCTTTGTCAGATTGAGTTTAATGAATTGCATTTTTTCTAAATACTGGATTTCACATCATTCTCCATTCTCTTTGCATTTGGGGGCGGGCCTTCCTGGAGGAGGGGTGAAAACTTGCCCAATTTGCAGCGTCTATTAACAAAACAAATATATTATTGTGTTGCTTAAAAGGGCTGGGTATTTTTGCCAAAGTCCTGAATCGATTCGATTTTGATTCATACAGTTCTAAATCGATTAATTTCGGTAAGATCTGTTTTTACAATAATGAAAGTGGTTTAACTGTGTTTCAAAATACTCATGTATTTTATTTTTTTCCTGTCACATTGAACACAAAGTGCAAACTTGTAAATCAGACAGTTTAAACATGAGATTTGAACAAAACTGACTCAAAAGTGCAAACTTGTTTGTGAAAAGTGAAGCCTCACTCGAGCAAGCAAACGTGAAACACCACAGACACTCATGAGATGCATTATCTTCACTGCACAAACTATATTTGCAGCGTTGTCTGTAAGAACTACAGGGTGTTTTCTGGTCAGCCCCCATTTGTTAATGTCTTCAGTCAACCTATTGGCTATATTTGCAGCTGTCTGGTTTGAAGTCATCTTGAGTGCATCTTTCCTGCTTATTTGAACGTGAACATCACTATAAAATTAATTGATCAAATTCCCTAGACCTCAATTTTGCAAAAATGTAAAGGAATCGATTGAAAATCGATTAAATCGATTTTTTTACCCAGCCCTATTGCTTAACACGCCGGTTAAATTAAAAGAATCTAAAATAATCTATTTCCTTGAATCTCATTTCTTTTTCCAGACTGTTCTTCGATTCCTCCCCTACGCTTTCTGTATTTCACTCATTGCTCTTCTCTCACATTTAGTTGGGAAAACCACCTAGGATTTTGCATAAGCTGAGAGCTTTCCTCTACCGGTGTGTATATATATATATATATATATATATATATATACACATATATAAATATATTAGGGCTGCAACTAACGATTATTTTAAAAATCGATGAATCGGCCGATGATTTTTTCGATTAATCGATGAATCGGACAAAAAATATTTTTTATATTAACCTCTTTATTCCAAAATAAACATTTTAGACAGAACAAACAAGCACACAAGTACAGGTTTAGACTAGAAGAGTTTTGCCTTTTAAGACAGGAAAGTATAGCAGTTAAAGTTGCTAAAGTTGCTACTTGAGAAAATACTGAACCATAGAGATAAAAATAGCCCTGTGATTCAAATTATAAATTGTATTTGGAATAAAAATGAGAGAACTAGGGGTGCTAAAAAACACATCCTCCAAAGACAGATATTTACATGGGAATGTGGCAGATAATTAATTGACATATTACTGATCTTGCTGGATTTTATTCTGCTTTGCTTCCATACTTTACTTTACTCTATCTTTGCCAGAAGAATTAAACTTTAAAAGCCTTGCCCTCACAATTTGCAAGTTAATTTATTTATAAAGTAAATATAAAAGCTGCTTAAGCTAATTCAAATGAAATTAAAAGTAAAATAAGTAGCCAACCTTATCACTGTCTGTAACCTACTAACACGGTAAGGAAAGCATCAGATGAGCTACCTGAGAAACTAACGTTACATTTCCCCCCTTTAAAACCAAACAAACAAGGTGCTTCCGTGCCATGTTCATTTGTTTTTACAAAAGTTGCATGTTACGACTTTTTTCACTTTACAAAGCGCAGGCTATTTTAATTATTGTGATCAATTTGCACCATCAATCCCGGCGCATGCGCGCTTCATTTGCAGTCTGGACGCTGAGGGTAAACTATGGCGTTACATTTATGTCATACGCCATACTGGAGGGGTCTGAAAAGTCGCTGAGTTGGGAACACTGCACCTGCGGTGCTGGCTCGCTCTGCCGTATTTTTTCTTCTTCCCCTGCTTCAGTCAAGTGGATGTGATGACGACGGCGGCAGATGACACATTAATCACACAACTAATCGATGATGAAATTCGTTGCCAACGCTTTTAAAAGTCGATTTTTATCGATTTTATCAATTCGTTGTTGCAGCCCTAAAATATATATACATATATAAATATATATACATATATAAACATACACACGGTATGGGGTCTTGGTTCGGCACGCACATTGCCATGCAGAATACACACCTGCAAGCTCTGATTGGTCTGTAGTCATAGAGGCCGTTTCTCAATGTGTACTAGTGCATTCTCATGTTCTCATGTGCTTGTGAAACGTCATCACCCTCAGCCCTACTACTGTCCAATTCACAAGAACAGCAGACCGAGAACAGATCAATGTCCCTGGATGGTTTTATCGCCTCTCCCTCTTTACCCAGCATGCATCAGAGCAGACTTG